GTTTTGGGTCTCAAACATGTCATTTAGTCAAAGAACAACACCTCAACATTCATGCAAAAGCGACCAGCAGCTATAGCAGGTATGCCATCTTGCACCAACACTAGCCACCAAGACTGGCCCAACACGTGTCTCTGGGCCCGGACAAAGCATGGAGTAAATGATGAGCAAGAAGAAGTATTTGTGATTCCTGGCGCCAGGCAAGATGGTTCACAAATTATGAAACCATCTGGGGAAGGGTCGACACATAGCAACAACCTGGGAAGTGAAGGTTTGACAAACATGACCTCAGTTGCTCTGAGACTATGTGAACCTCCGGGCAGAAATAGCAGGCTGCAGCTCGTGCCCCAGCCATCGAAGGCGTCTCTGAGTGGACACCGCATGTTTTTCGTCGGGGACATGGACCAAAAGGTTTAAAGTTTAATCCTCTTTGATCGTGCTGACCAACAGCCATGTACCGTTACTCATTCAATCAAGTGCTCCTGATTCACCCTCTGTGGTTGATGTACTCTTGGATCCTATCCTCTGGGCGAACATCCTGTACCACCCTTGTACATCTAAAGAATCATGCTTCCCGACCTACTCGGTGAATGGATGTCAATGGAGTCAACGTAACGTGGGCTTTGGACCCTTGACACATACTCAGTGGCTGCTTCTCCGACACGTCAAACACACATGTTTTCCCATCTAAAAACCCGCACATCTGGCTGGTGGATGATGGTGGATGAACATCTTGTTGGTTGGTTGGTTGGGAGATTTGAAGACAACTTGCTGGTCGCCTCAGGGCTGCAGACCTCGACCGTCCCGCTGAACCGCTCTCCGGACTGGTCGCCCAGGTCGCCTAAAGCCGATGCAATTCATGATCCAGGGACAGTGGTGGTCCATCTTCCTCAGCTGCTTCAGCTAGAGTTCGGCTAGTCTGGGCCGTGGGACATCTGCAGCTTTCCACAATTCAGCTTCAAAGTAAGGGATGCCTCGCTGCCCGAAAGACATAGGACTTGTCTTGTGATTACTCAGTGAACCCTGATTTCATTCTTCAAGTGATCCTCTTCAACTGATCCCAACCATCCATAGTTTGATAAAACAATTGAGTAGAACTAATTGCAAGGAGGAATATCTACACATGAATTCGGTGGTTTATCACACAAGCCAGACACGTGCTGGGAGGTTCCAGTTTCTGTATTCTCCCACACCTACACACCTCCTACCAAACAACAATTGACAAACCATGGTCTTCGGTATAAGTTCCACACATCTCCACCCTTCTGCCAAGTCTCAAGATGCACGACTTGCAAATCCGACAGTGGTGGCACCTCTTCGGCACAGCCAACGCGTTCACCGCTCACCCGGGCACAGCAAAAGACTGCGTCTTCCGTGCAGCAAGTGAAAGGAGCCAATGGCACTTAAGTCCAGTTACAATAAGCACTGAACGAGAGGAACCTCATCATCCAAAACCCCAGACTCTATAAGGCGGGATTGGAATACATGCATGAAATGCTTGAACTGGGAGTGGGATGCCATCTGCGCATGCACTGTGCAAACTGTCCTGTAGCAATGGGTTGTTGCAAGGAAGTGCAACACCTTGACCCCTTGATCCTGCTTACAAACGAGCCATCACCATTTTTCCAGAATCAAAGATGCATGGATTCATGGATGCCCCCATGTTACAGCTCCCTGTCCACACAAAAAAAACAATCTGTGTGAACAAAACACATCCAAGTGTTTGCAGCATGTGCCCTGGATGCCCGCATGATGCCGGATGGCCGCCGCTGCCGCCCCACCCAGCGATATCCAGCGCTCGCTCGCATGCACGGAGCCCGAACCTGTCTGGCTTGTAGATGAGGCAATGCTTGCAGCGCCTTCGCTCACCGCTAAACTTCACCTGGCCGTTATGACTTGGTGGTGAGGACAGTCTGAGTGCTTGAGCTACGACCAAGAAGTTGTTCCATTGAGACTGAGAGGTGCTTCGTCGTTGCGTGATGCTGTCACATAGGATTGCTTTCCGTCCGCCGCTACGGACTACAATGCAGGCTTCAAAACAATAGCGAAGTCAGCGTTCTGCTCTACCCATGGACTCACCCATTTGACTTCCGTCTCTTTCGCTGGTCATATCTGGTCACAGTGAGGACCCACTGTTCACACCCGCCCCATGGCCCCATGGTCTCCCAGCCTCTTGAGTGATCTTCGGGTCCTGCGAGTCGAGAAGCCGGTCGGCCGAAGCGGCGAAGCGGTCGGCCGATCGGTTTCCGAGAGCCGTCCAAGGCGAGGCTGGCGAAGGTAAGGCTGATTGGCCAAGGAACCGGCACTTTTTGACCAGGTGCTGTTGCTTCTGAATTCGGGCACTTACGGTACTTGCGCATCCAACAAGCCCCGACGATTCGGAGAAATTTGATTAAATTTGCGTAACATGCATGTCTGCAGATCCACCGATCCATATTTGTGCCGTTTCAAATGAATCTACAGGACGCCCTGAAACCACCCCCAGCCCAACTACCCAAATGCCACTCGTGCCACGACCGACAAGCTCCTTGAAGGTCCCAAAGCGCCAGGCTTCACCCTGGCGGGTCGGATGCGTCCATCGGTTTGTTGGGGAAGAAACCGACCCAAACCGGTGGGTAGGGGAGGTTGGGAGACTGATAGGATTTCAGCAAGCCAAGCAGTTGATCGTTGATCCTCTTGGCGACAGCTCACATGAAGGGTTTGTTGATAGAATGGGGATAGGTGTTGTATAATTTTGCTTTAGTTCGGGGTGGTTGGAGAGTTGCATACCGCATACCCTTTCACACCATGATAGAACCTTTCGCTAGGCCTATTCCCTTATCTCCACAATGACAAGTTGGCAGCGACATTCACATCGCCATAAGGGCCTACTCTAAACAACTCAAAAGTATGACGCTATTGAGGATTGTCCCATCTTCATGCTCTACTTGAGGATGGCTATACATTCCAGTTGAACTTTCTGAGGTGGCAGTACTTCAATACCTGGAAGAAGTACTTGGTTTCTCCTTTATAACTGGAAGAGGTTCCACCCAGCCTCCGGCACATCGCCCGGCATGGTGAGCGTCGCCCTGCAGGGTGGCATGGTCGCTGATGGGATAAATTCCCCGACAGGTGAGGACGAGGACTCTCACGGGGAATGCCTCATTCAAAAAAAACGCTTCAAGTTTTGAGGATGCTAGGGCCATTTGGTTTAAGACTACACTGGATGGCTCCTTCATTGAAAGTTAAGTCACTTGCGCTTCAAACATGAATCCCATTGAATCTCTATATGTATATGTGTAGTATGGCAGGAACAAGTAAGTATCATCTCGCCGTCTTCTATTCAGCGCTGAACTCTTCCCGTTCCAATACAACCCCACTCAATCCACTACGTGTGAGACTCAAAAGACTGAGCACCAGTGCCCACCACTCCCAAGGATCTTGCAACCAGCAAGCTGACAGTCGTTTCTGCCACGCTTAGGCACAAGTCCGGTACTAGCTACCTGTAATAACCGGCAGCTATTCGTCCAGCAATGACTCCTGACACATAGATTCACACTATGTGTGCTTCTGCTGCCTTTCAATATGTTCCAAATGCATCTCCACTTGCGGCTTCCGCACTGTGCCTAAAAAAGCTGATGAGCAAAAGCGTGGTGAGCACCTGCCAGCTGTGTGCAATAGCACCCCGTTGCTGCACTTTTCAACGACCAGCCCTCAAATATTGAGTCAAAAAAAAATAATTCCAACCTGTCCATGCAAGGCCTACCATCAAACAGTTGGCAGCAGCAAAGCCTTTGAACATGTTGAAGCCTACGGGTGTAAAACCGAACGTGTGACTACTGCGATTTTTGAAGTTGATGCTACGTGAAAGGTGGGGGGGTTGGGGTGGGGTGGGATGGGGCATATTGACGTTCGTTTGCACTTGCTATCTGAAGTTGATGCTACGTGAAAGGTGGGGGGGTTGGGTTGGGGTGGGATGAGAACATTGTCATCGTTTTCACGACAAGTAATCTTCGGTTTCATAGCATAGTCATCGGTTTCACCACATTATTTTCGGTTTCATAGCATTGTCATCGGTTTCATAGCATTGTCATCGATTAGTCGTGTGATTAAAATGGGGGGGGGGGGGGGGGGGTGTGATGGAATGAGGATGTGGATGTCATGCTGAGAACATTGTCATCGATTTCACGACAAGTAATCTTCGGTTTCATAGCATTGTCATCGGTTTCATAACATTGTCATCGATTAGTCGTGTGATTCGCGGATGGCAGTGGCGTTGGGAAAACACCACGTGTACTAACTTGTGCAAAAAACTGCGCAAGTCTACTTGAGACAGGACGCATGAAAGTTGAGGACAGCCCGGGACAAAACCGGCGACGGATTTTGCGCTGGCGCTTGGGTTTCGGCAGATTCGGCTTTAAACATGAAAGGATCCGGGACCCCCAAAAAACATCATCGAACAAGCAAAAGTACTGAGAGGGTTTGCACTTTTGAATCAAAATTTGCACGACTACACGTGCGATTCCACACCCGGCGGGATGTTGAAGTTCATCAACATCTACGAAGACCCAAACATTTGCATATCCCTTTCAACACATGTCATGGACATGCGGGTTTTGCTGTTCCAACAACTGAGCTCGGTAGGCTGTGTTGAGCAAGCAGTCACACTACCGAGGCCTGCAAAATGATGAAATGCCGCCACCCACGCTGGGCCACCTGCAGGTCTCGACAGGATTTTCACGGAAACTTGATTGTTGACGTGGCTGTATATAGTGTATGTATAAGGATTCATCTTATGGTGCATCTACAATCATGACATACCAAAATGATCCAAAATCTTAACAACTTCCACGAGTCTACCTGGCGATTGAGAATCATTCCGAGAAGTCCAAACACCTCAAGTCATCTGCGTCGGCCATGTTCTTCTCCAGCTGATCTGGGCAAAAAATGAACACGCATCCTTCGCCGCGAAACTTTTTTGTCGGCATTGTGTCGCAAAGTTTCATGCATCATCATGGCAGTGGCTCACCTCAGAGTTTGCAGCAGGGTCGCGAATGATGACAGTTGCAGTGTTGGCGAATACCAAACATATCTAGATAACTAGATTCTATAGATGCACCGGACCGGTCTGAGTCGGAGAATCGGCGAGGTGGTGAACCTCTGAGGTTCAGAAGACTGTCGGGGCAAATCAAAGGGGTCAACAATGACGCAAGCAGCTTTTGGCGGAACACATCTGCATAATCTCTAAGCTACGATCTTTCCAGTCACTCTGCGGGCTTCTTCCAGCAAAGACTGAATTACCCCGTCGATCCGCTTGCAGAACTTGCTGAACTCGACATTTGTGCGCTTGAACTCATCAAGAATGTCCTTTGCAGCCTGTAGATCGGCCACAGGCCTTTTCCGCAAATCTGAAGCCATGACACTGATTTGGGTCCAGCTGCCTTTTTCTGGCTCTTGCAAGAAAACAAACAGAAAGGTTTCTGCAAAGACTTTGTTTGCTTTCACTTTATCTTTCTTCATCTCCACCAGCAGATTCAGCAGACGTTGCCTTGGCTCCTGTCGGAATGCACGAAGCAAGTTTGCATATGTCACAATATCGGGTTTCAAACGTGCAGCTAACATCTCATCCAAAAAACCTTGAGCTGCTGCAGCTCGATTTGAATCTTGGCTGTTGGCACAAGCATTGATCGCTGAGTTAAAGTGCACCCCGTCAGCCTGAAGACCTTTTTCCCGCAGGTAGCGGAGGACCCGTGCTGCTGCTTGAATGTCTCCACTGTCTGCAGCCGCGTCAATGCGTCCTGAAGCTTGAGGGTGACTGACAATGTCCCGCTCAACCAGCTGTCCCCAGAGTCGTTCAACTTCATCTTGTCGCCCAAGTTTGCCCAGGAGTTTCATAGCAATTGTATATGTAGGTAGTGTCATGTGTATGACCCGTTTGTAAATCTTGTAGCCCTCCTCATAGTCCCCCTGTTTCAGAGCTGCCTACATTGCAGCAGTCAGGACCAATGGACTGGACCCAGAATATTCCGCATACAGATTGTGCCATTGCCGGTGACCACTCTTTTGATTGCCTACTGCTTTAAGCTGAGAAGCAAGCTTCCTTTCCTCCTCAGTTGGTTCAAGTATCAAGCGCTCTGTTGTGTTGACTACCCTACCAAATCTTGCCCCTGCAGGGCTATGCACGCCCCAGCCCTCTCTTCGACGCAGGACATGCGTCGGCACCTGCTTCGGCTGCACAAAGGCATCATGTGTACTATAGCGCTTTGTTGACAAACTGAAATACGTAGAATGAACCCAACCCACGGTATGACATGGATTGACATCTTCATGCCCAGCCACTCTTGTGCCACCTTGGATTCGGTCGATGACACTGGCAACTCGCTGAGATGCATAGCCAACAACTCTGGCATGCTGAAGGGCACGGGTACCAGATATCAAAGGCAGCATGGGAATTCTAGTGCACGCGAGATTGATATTGAAATGTATCAAACGACTCTGTCCAAATGCTATTCGACACCCTTCAACACGCACAATTGCATTGCATGGCTTGATCCAAATTGGTCCCTTGGCTGTTCATGATCCCGAAATCGAGCATGCTGGACTCTCCTGCATGATCAAGCATGTCTGGTCCAAACAAAATGGACGGCTCCTAAAGACCCCAGAGCTTTGACGTGGGAAATTCCCATACGTATCGGGTGTCTTGAGGATGTGGTCTGAAATTGATCGCCCTCTTTCTGCTCAGTGCAGTTATGCCACGGTTTGCTGAGTTTTGACCTTGGCCCGTTTAAGTAAGGCCATATCAAGCCATCCAAATAGATATGGCATGATTAGGCGATCAACAATCCAACAAAAAAGCAAACGACTCTAAGCGGTCTTCCAACACTTCTCCAATCAACCAACATAATGCATGAAATGAAACCTACGAGTAACATGATGGTTGTCGCAACATAAACAGAACATAACAGAACCACGCATTTTGTTCACCACTTCTTCAATCAACCACCCAAGGGTTTAGAGTAAGCTCACTTCCCACATGAAACCTTTTCAATTGAAAAACACAAGGCATGCCGAGGTGCTCAGATGCAAAGGCGCTGAGGGCCGCGGACGAGTGGCCGCATTTGGCCACTGAAAGCGGTCAAACCTTGGCACTTCGGTGACTTTCACTCAACCAAGTCTGCTTTTAAAGCTTCAACAGTCGGTGGGAATGGGAATTTCTTCAACCTTTAGGTGTTTTTACTTGTCAGCAGGATCCTGTAGGTCAATGATGTTTCCTCAATGTGAGACATGGATTGCTCGGAGGGTCTCTAACTCCAGTTGTTTCACTTTGCATCCTTTTTCCACTGCCTTAGTGCCTTCGCATAAAATCCACTCTTCGGTGGCCAAGCTCTGCCTGGGCTCATAGCGTCAACTAGAGCCGCCAGACTTCTTAGCCCAGCACTTCCCGAAGAGCTGCATCAATCAACCTGGAGGAATAAGCTAATCTGACCTTTGTATCTCTCATCTCGTCGATGAAGTGTTTTGCTGCTTGGAGGTGAGCAAAGGGCAGTTTCCTAAGATGTGCCACAATGACATTTCGTCGTCTCCACTCACCTTTTGTGCGAGAATTTAACAGTGTGAATAGGAAGCACTCTACGAACACAGTGTCTGGCCTTACATTGTGGCCTTTCATCTCCACCAGCAAATTCTGCAACCGGTGTTTTGGTTCTTGTTGGAGTGCGCGAAGCAGGGCTCCGTATGTTACAGTATTTGGCATCAGACCGGCTGTGAGCATTGCATCAAGAAACCGCTGAGCAGCTTTGGCTCGGTTTGTATCGTCGGAATTTGCGCAAGCATTGATGGCTGACGTGAAATGCACCACATTGGCCTCAATACCCTTTGCTTTCATATAGTCAAGAACTTGTTCTGCTGCTTGAATGTCTCCGATGCTGGCTGCCGCATCGATGCGTCCACCAGCTGCAAGTTGGCCAACCAAGTCCTGCTCAACTAGCTGCCCCCAGAGTCGTTCGACTTCATCTTGTCGCCCAAGTTTGCCCAGGAGTTTCATAGCAATTGTATATGTAGGTAGTGTCATGTGTATGACCCGTTTGTAAATCTTGTAGCCCTCCTCATAGTCCCCCTGTTTCAGAGCTGCCTGCATCGCAGCAGTCAGCACCAATGGACTGAACCCAGAATACTTGGCATAGACTTGTTGCCAACGACCATTCTTTTGATTGCCTGCTGCTTTGAGCTGAGAAGCAAGTGTCTTTTCCTCCTGGCTTGGCTCAAGGATCAGGCCAGTTGTGTTCGTATTTACCACCATACCAAGTCTTTCCCCAGCTGGGGCATGAACGCCGAAGCCCTGTCTTTGCCGCACAAAATATGAACTAGGCTGCTTTGGCAGCGCGAAGGTTTGATGGTTGCTTCCTTGCCAAAGTACAATCAGGATGCCAATCAGCGAAGAACGAATTGCTCTTTTCATGCCGTCCAGGCACCTTCAACTTGGTTCGCCGCCGACACTCTGATTGTCTACTGAGCCAATCAAACGGGCTACAGTAGGCAGCACAGTGCTGGTCCCCAAAACGGACTTTGGGGATGCTATTGGACAAGTTACTTTGTACAGCTTGTCTCACCAGTGTGCTTTGAATGAATCCTCCGCTAGTTTCAAACTCCCCGTGCGATGCGGGGCAAGCTGGGGCTCCCACGGGCAACGATTGCGAGTCAGGAGTTGCGCTAGACCAGAAAGCTGTCCTGGTCGAGGTTGGTCATCTGAATGGAGGTTGGTCATCTGAATGGACTCAAGTTCTGAAATGAAAAGCACACGTCTTCCACGGATGAGCTGCTCCATTTGCCAGGAAATTACGCGCCTTCTGTCACCTTCTCTTAGATTTGTGACTCTCTCTCTCCACGTGGGCCAATACATGTGACCCTAGGCCCTAGACCCAAGAACATTGACATTATTGACATCTTTCCTCTTTGCCCAGGCGAGCCAACGCTCAAAAAGAGTCGACTTGCCAAACGTGACAAATACAAGACATCCAGGAGAACAACAGAATATCATTGGTTTGACAAACGTCTAAACCAAGGTGGTCATCTTTCCTGCTCAAAGAATATATATATATATAGTTATATACATATATATATAGAGAGACTATCGAACGTAAACTAGAATAAATGTCAACAACTTTCTTAGCTAAAACATTTGCCGCCATCTTCGGCAAAAACTTTGAACCTGCCCGCCGCATCGCAAACCCATGGACCAGGTGGGTTGGGGAGTTCCCCGACAGTGCGGCAGGTGCGATCTTGGGTCGCGTTCAACCCTTAGCTGGAGAATTGAACAACATACAGTATGTTTGCCTCATGCACATTGTCCAGTGTGCGATGAGATGCTTTTCTTTTTACCAAACACCACGAAAATGAAGCAACACACAATTCGTCAATGCTTCTCTAAAAAGCCAACCCTCATAATCAGACTCCCCACCAAGAAACATCATCACAACACTCATGCTCTCCACCCACCCCTCTCCTCCCAAAAGCACGCCTGCACAGCAAGCTGAGCCCACACCGAAATGCTCCCTGCTCAGCCGCTGCCGCTCGGTCGATGCACCAGGGTCCTCCGAGCAACTTCCATCAGTAAAGAACTCACCTGCTGCATAACTCTCCAAACGTAGAGGTGAACAGTACTGTGTGACAATCCCAGCAAAAGCATCTGCTACCCAATTTTGTGAAGGTTCTGTCATCCATGCTCACGTTTCAGAAATCAGTTGAGTTGGGGTCTAGCCATCTGCTCCTTCAGCCAAAAGCAAATGCTCGCAGTGCGGCGTTGCCAGGTGGCGTCTTCCAGCTGCAGCTTTCATCTGGGAAGCCTAGGATTTTGAAGCAAGTGTGAAACAAAAACGCGTGTTACTTTCAACATGTTTCAACACTTGAATCTTGCAAAAAGTCAATCTCGTGTGCAGAAATGGAGTCTCAAGTAACAAGATTTACATGCACATGCCCTTCCAAGGACCTGGCAAACACAAGAGTCAAATAAGTGGAACAGTAAGACTTTGGGACCTGAGACCAGTGGGCACCTTGGAGACCTGTGGGCACCTTACGTGCACGTTCGTGCACGTTCGTTGTCACCTACACAGCCTCAATCTGCACGCGCTGCTTTTTTCGTAATTGGATGAAATCCTGACTGGGCATGCGCTGAAGAAGATTCAAGATCTCTTCTCCGCGGCCTCTTCTGCGTGACGTCTACGACCCACAACACTGCGGGCTTCGTGCAGGACAAGTCGAACAGCGGCCGCGATCAGCCTGCAGGACTTGTTCAATTCGACCTTTGTGCCCTTGAGCTCATCAATAAAGCCCTTTGCAGCCTCTAGATCGGCCTGGGACAATTTCCGAAGATGTGAAGCAATGACATCCACATTGGTCCAGCCCCCTTTGTGAGGTGACCGGAGGAAAATGAAAAGAAACGTCTCCGCAAACACTACGTTTGCTTCCACATGCTGTTCTTTCATATGCACCAGCAGATTCAGCAAACGTTGCCTTGGTTCTTGTCGGAACGCACGAAGCACGTTTGCATATGTCACAATATTCGGCTTCAAACCAGTCCGCAACATCTCATCAAAAAACCCTTGAGCTGCTTTGGCTCGATTTGAATCTTGGCTGTTGGCACAAGCGTTGATTGCTGATGAAAAGTGCAGTGTGGTTGCTTCAATACATTTTTCCTTCATGTAGTCAAGAACCCGTACAGCTGCTTGAATGTCTCCATTGTCTGCCGCTGCATCAATGCGTCCTCCAGCTGCAGGTTGGTCAACCAGGTCGTACTCAACCAACTGTCTCCAGCGTCGTTCGACTTCATCATGTTGCCCAAGCTTCCCAAGGAGCTTCATGGAGATTGTATACGTCGGCAATGTCATGTGTCTGACCCTTTTGTAGATTTTGAGGCCTTCCTCGTAGTCCCTCTTTTTCAGAGCTGCGTGCATCGCAGCATTGAGCACAATTGGACTAGACCCCGAATACTCGTCAAACAGCTTCTGCCAATGTCCTTCCTTGCTGTCACCTGCGACTTTAAGCAAGCCACTTCTCCTCCTCTGTTGGTTCAACAACCAAGCGCTCTGTTGTGTTCACTACCACATGACCCCTTTTGGCAGCAGCGCTATGAACACGCAAGCCTGCTGTGGGAGTGAAAAGGCATCATGGGCGCTGTTACGCTTGTGAAAGAAACAAAGGGATGTAGAGAGGGGCCAACCAGCAGCACATGACTTGGTTTCCACATGCAACGCCGCTCTCAAGCCGCCTGGGACGGCAGCCCGTTGAGATGCATGGCCACAAACTTTGGCATGCTGAAAGGCGAGCCTTCTACAAGCCAAAAGCATGCCCCTCTGTTGCCAGGACATCAACCTTGGGATGATTCTGCCGAATTGTGAACTGCTACAATTTGCAACTGTCAACACTGCAAGGCGCTGCTTGATCCAGGTTGGCGAAACAGCTGCGCAGTATCACTCAACCATGCTTTCGGTTAAACATGTTTGGACACTAGTAAAAACCCAAGTCATTTCGTGTGGAAATCCTGCCCATTTAGAAGATTTAGTTCATTAGCAAAAAAACATGACAGGATCATATAGGATCGCTCCTCCAATTAAACTTCATTATGTCTTTGTCTTCCCAACAATCCAGTCCATCAAGAGAGTGCTGCACCCATTCAACGTGCTTCAAAATCGTGCCAGGTCAGACATGCGCTGAGGGCTTATTATGCCCAGTTTGCCCAGCTATGGATGCAACAGGTCATGCACACAAAGGAAGAACCGGCACCATTAGATGATTTTCATCCGGCAACCTTTCCACCGCTGCTTAAGGGCAACAACAAGGACCTTCTTCCACCCGACGATCGGAGTGCCTCCGTGGTGCTGCACCTGGTGCACGGGTGAATGACTCCTCGGTCGACGGCATTGGCAGCTCTGGTGCGGGGGCGAGTTATCTGACTGGAAAACTTTGCTCATGGAAACCAACAGGTAAAAGGATGTTGTTCTGAAGTTCTATCCGATTATCCGATGCATGGTTTCCTCACGATTTTCTATCCTTTGGTAAACGTTGGGAGCTATGTTCGGCATGTGAAAGCTTGATCTACTGTATCAGGGCGTTGAGCAGTGCAGTATATAGTATACAGTATACAGTAGAACAGTACAGAGCTTCTGAAAGAGATACAACAGTCAAACAACTTCAATCACATCCTCCAAATCCTTTCTGCTTTTAGGTAGATAAACAGATATCAAATATATATATATATATTTATATATAATACATTATAATACAGTATATAAACAAACCAAACTTAAACACAACCTGTGCTTGCACCATGTGAGAATGTTGTCAATGACACCACCAACACGGTGGGTTGCCGTGCAGACTGTGATTTCTTTGCCTGTTATGAATTCCTGACCGCCAGCAAGAAACATGAAACCTTCCAAAGAAACCGGATATGTCCTGGCATGAAGGCTGAAGACAAGGTAAAGTTACTATATACAACATTGACCGTCCGCGCAGCGCATCATCTTTCACTGTGGAGATTTCAGCGCGAACTGAAAACTTGAAGAACTTCTAAAAAGCCTCATTCTACCGCCATCTTCGGCAAGCACTGTGACCGCCTACTCCTTTTCAGCCACGGGTCCTCTGCAGGGGCTGCGCCGCTGATGCTGGCAGGTGCTTGCTCAGAAGCTGCGAATCCTTGCAGAATTGGATCAATCTGTGGAACCCCAAGAGCTGCAGTTCGGGGTCCAAAAGAGCTGGCTGTTCTAAAGAGCCAGCCCTGACAGTTCAAGCTCCCCACAAAGACAAAGAACACTCCTCATGGAATCCTAGATTCAAACGATAGAATCATGCTAAACTCCTTCTCAAGATTCTGTCCGCCCCCGCGGACGTGCACAGCTCCGCCCCCACACTCTGCCAACCGCCTCTCAGCCTGGCGGGGGCATCTGGTAAAGCAAGTCGGTCGGTGGATGTCACCACGGTCCTCCAAGCAGCTTTCATGGTAAAAGTATGTAAAGAATCACTGGCTGCATAACTCACCAACACATAGAAATGCAAACTTTTACACGACAATGCAGACCAATTGAAGCGCTACTAAATGAATCTTGAAAGTCCTGTGATCTACAAAGTTCAAATTCACAAATCGGTTGACTTGTGGTCCAGCCATCTGCTCCTTCCCCAACTGCATCTTCCTTGTTCGACTATCAACACTGCTCAAGGCCAGCACCGGCTGGCAGTGCGGCATCGCCAGGTGGCGGCTTGCAGCTGCAGCTGTCATCTGGGAAGCCTTGGATTTTGAAGCAAGTGTGAAACCAAAACACATGTTAGTTAGTTTCAACACTGAATATTGCAACAAGATCAAAAAGTCGATCTTGTGTGCAGAAATGGAGCCCCAATCTACACCATGGCTTTCTGTGGCCCTTGGAAATAACCGAGTTAAAGCTATCAGGCTTTGGGACCTGAGACCTGTGGGCTCTTGACGATACTCTGTTGTAATTAGGCTCGTGCTCACTTGAGAAATACATATCAACACCATTATGTAAACATATGTAAATCAGCCCTAATTACACAGCCTCAACCTGCTCACCCCGCCTTTTTCGTTGGAGGCAATCGCTCCTCATCGTCTCAAAGCCGGAGCGAATCATCGTCTAAGGACTCTGACCCATCACTTTGCGGGCTTCTTGCAGGACAGACTGAATGGCCTCGTCGATCAGCCTGCAGGACTTGTTCAATTTGACATTTGAACGCTTGAGCTCATCAACAAACTCCTTCGCAGTCTGCACGTCGGCTAGGGACAGTTTCCGCAGATGTGAAGCAATGACATCCACTTTGGTCCAGACCCCTTTTTGGGGTGACTGCAGGAAGATGAAGAGAAAGGTCTCTGCAAACACTCCATTCCATGTTAGATTCTGGTTCTTCACATCCGTCAGCAGGTTCAACAAACGTTGCCTTGGTTCATTTGCCAAGGCTCGAAGCAAGTTGGTGTACGTTGCAATGTCTGGCTTCAAACCGACAGCTAACATCTCATCAAACAAGCGTTGAGCTGATTGTGCACGATCTGCATCTTTGGCGTTTGCACAAGCATTGATGGCTGACGAGAAATGAAGCTTGTCAGCCTCAAGACGTTTTTCTTGGAGGTAGTGCAGAACGCGTACCGCTGCTTGAATGTCTCCATTGTCTGCCGCTGCATCAATGCGCCCTGAAGCTTCAGGTTGACCGACAATGTCCATCTTCATCAGCTGTCCCCACAGCCGTTCGATTTCATCATGTTGCCCCAGCTTCCCAAGGAGCTTCATTGAGATCGTATAAGTAGGTAGTGTCATGTGTCTGACCCTTCTATAAATCTCGTAGCCTTCCTCGTAGTTCCCCTGTTTCAAAGCTGCCTGCATTGCAGCAGTCAGCACCAATGGACTAAACCCAGAATATGTAGCAACCACTTTTTGCCACTGTCCATTCTTTTTGTTGCCTGCTACTTTGAGCTGGGAAGCAAGCCACTTCTCCTCTTCTGTTGGTTCAAGCACTAAGTGCTCTGTTGTGTTCACTATCATATTGAATTTTTCACCAGCACGGCTATGAGCACCCCAGCCCTCTGTCCGACGTAGGACATGCGTAGGAATCTGCTTTGGCTGTGCAAAGTCATCATGTGCGGTGTAGCGCTTGGTTGATATATTGCGAGAAGTTGAGCTAAGCCAGCAGGCAGCATGACATGGCTCATGCCACGCTGCTGTCAAGCCATCTGTGATTGGTTGAGGGGCACGACCACAAGCTTTGGCATGCTGAAGGATATGCGTGCCACGCACAAAAAACTGCATGCACTCTTGGTGGTCAGGAAATTGGATTTGAACTCACAGCATTGCCGTGCGGTGTCTTGATCCGGCTCTCGGCTGTTCACCATCCCAAAGTCGAACATGCAACTCCTTCAACCAGGTAAGACTTTACCGTACTTATGAGTCGTCTTTGTGCTTTTGAATGAGCAAACTCAACAACCAATGGCTTGGTTGTGCTAAATCCTTTGCAAGCCATGGTGGTGTTGTTCTTCTTTCTAGGCGCACACCCAAACAGTTCTGAAAAGTACTCAGCCCCGCCAAGAAACGCTCAGCGAGTCTCAACCGGTCCTCTCTGTGATACCCTTGAACTGCCATCCAATACTTGAAATGATGAGGAACCGATAGCCAATCCCTCAAAAAATGGAAACATCTCCAGCAGTCTCTCAACACCTCGAACCAACCAACCCTAATATGGGCTCACATCACATCCCAAGTGAAACCTCTTCACTGAAACTGCCTAGCAACTCAGGTGCGATGTGAAGGCGCTGCAGCGACGGGTGGCCACATTGGCCACTCCGGATGGACAGACCTTTGCACTTTCGCGGATATGACTCGACAAACCGTTGCCTGTTTGTGACGCCAGTGGTCTTCCTTTGGATGTTTTCAAGAACAACTCCAGTATGCACAGCGTTGGGCGATTTTGTATGACAAAAGGCCCAAGGTCTGCTGCAAAAAGGCAAACCTACAATGACATGCGAGAAGAAGGAAGCTCATGCCTCATGTCCATAGAAAGCCGCCCTCCCCAAAAACATCCTCACTCCCATGCTGCGCACCTCTTCCGGGCTTCGCACTCCTCGGTCTGCGCCGCGAGGTCCGCGCGGCTTCCGAGGAAGCCGCTGGAGAGGCCTCAGGAAGGCACCCAGTTTGAAGGTGATGAGCTGGTGGATGTCACCGGGGTCCAAGAAGCTTCCAATTCTATCAGGGTGAGATATCAAAAACAATTAACCAATCAAAAACGACAATTATCGACCATTACTAATTTGATCCCTATGCCTTCTATCAGACCGTAAGACCCACCCGGTTTGGTGTTGCTCGTCAGAGGTCGAGGGAACACATCGCTTCAAGCGAAAGTCCAAAGGGTCCCTCGTGGTCTCCGATCATGATACACAGCTTTCAGTAATTGAAGAGGTGACAAGCGACACTTTGGGACCCAGGCATCTGTCTGTGGGGCAACTTCTTTTGAGACGTTTTCTTGTGCTTTTGGGGGGCCAAAGAGGTCGTCCATCAAAGCCTCCGAAGCTGGTTTTAGCTGCAGTAGAAAGCAAGGAACCTCCGCGCGCTCCTTTTCCATATGCGTCTGTGATCGATGTCACTACATTCTACTCTGAAGCAATACACTGAAAAAAAGATACTCTCAAAGGCCACAGCGAATCATCATCGTCTAATGTCTCTGACCCAATATACTGCGGGCTTCGTCTATGAGAAGCTGAAGTACAACGTCGATCCGCTCGCTGGACATGTTCAATTTGACATTCGAACGCTTTACCTCATCAACAAACTCCTTCGCAGCCCGTAGGTCCGCCATAGGCAGTTTCCTGATCTGCACAGCAATCTCACTTTGCTCTCTCCAGCAGGTCTTCCCACGAGGCTTCTGCAAAAAAATGAAGAGAAAGGATTCAGCAAACACTGCATTTGCTTTCACATTATGCTTTTTCATATCCATCAACAAGTTCAACAAACGTTCTTTGGGCATTTGTCGGAACGCACGAAGTAAGGTGGCATATGTCACAATGGTGGGCTTCAATCCTGTCCGCAACATCTCATCAAAAAAGCCTTGAGCGATGTCTGCTCGATTGGCATCTTGGCTATTGGCACAAGCATTGATGGCTGAGTTGAAATGCACATCGATGGTCTCAATACCCTTCTCCTTCATGTACTGGAGCACTCTGGCTGCAGCTTGAATGTCTCCACTGTCTGCAGCAGCATCAATGCGGCTTCCAGCTACAAATCGATTGACCAGGTCCAGCTCAACCAGCTGTCGCCAAAGTCGTTCGACTTCATCAAGTTTACCAAGCTTCCCAAGGAGCTTGATGGAGACCGCATACGTCGGCAATGTCATATGTCTGACCTTTTGGTAGATGTGAAAGCCTTCTTCATAGTCTCCCTGTCTCAGTGCTGCCTGCATTGCAGCAGTCAGCACCAATGGGTTCAACCCAGAATATTCAGCGTACACTTTTTGCCACTGTCCATGTCCATTTTTTCTGTTGCCAACCTTTTTGAGCTGAGAGGCCAGCCACTTCTCCTCTTCTGTGGGTTCAATTACCAAGCTCTCTCCTGTGTTCACTACGGCGCCAAGTTGTTCCCCAGCAGGGGCATGGGCGCTCAATCCCTCCCTCTGTCGCCAGAAATAACAACTCCCCTGCTTCGGCAAATCAACTTGTGCAAATGCATCATGAGTGTTGTAGCGCTTTGCTGACAAATTAGACGAAGTGGAACAAATGTATCCATGACACAACTTGCTTTCATCATGCCGCACCACTGCCGAGCCACCCGCAATTCGTTCGATCACAGTGGCAATCCGTTGAAACACAAAGCCACAAGCTTTGGACTGGTGAAGGACACTTGTACCACGTGCCAAAAGCAGCATGGCCTGTCTCGATGGAATGTTAAGTTCACTCAACTCTTGCTTGATCCAAATAGACCTCTCAGCTGTGCCTCATCAAACAAGCAGAACAAAGCCTAAGGCGACTCACACAGGCACCGCTACTCACGAGGACAGATTTGTGGCTTTAAATGAACGAGTTTTGGATGGTGTTGGCGTGTTCTTTCTCGATTCCAAGTCACACCCACAACAAGTGTCAAAACATGCAAACCGCACAAGCACATTTTCACCACCCCCCAAAATATAGACGTCTTGAGGATCTGCTCCACGGTCACCAACAACACGCCTTTTGGCCCTCCAGTACGGGCTAATATCCAACATCGAACACTCCCATGTATGGAATATAGTATATTTTAATATACATGTAGATATAAATACATTGACCCAAGGTCGACCACCCAATGTAAGTAACTATGCCCCCAAAATGGAGTAACTGGGCAACATCAAACCTTCCCGCTTCACTTCACCGCTTCCCCCCTCACAGCTGCAGCGGCCCCCGTTGGCAACGACGAGATGCCGACGGAGAAGTCGCGCCGCATCTGCGGTTCTCAGCTGGAGAAACCTGCTGGGGCTGGTATTGGGGCTTTGAGCCCGGTACGGATTGAACGTCCGAAAGATAAGGCTCAAGCGCAGGCAGGCTCAAGGTAAGGTTACACAGCTACACAACATGCTTCCACAAGTCTTTTCTACTTCCTCTTTGTGCTGTTCAAGTGACCAAATGTGAAGAGCTTCCATCGAACTCCGACGGAACATCCGAGAAAAAAAAGAAAGAGCGAAAGAGCTAAAAACAAAACAACTAAATCGGTTGCAAAGACGTCCTGTCAGAAAAATATATAACCGATGCTAACGCACAGGCCAACAACTGCATCACGTGCAAGCGGATCGTTTCGAAAACAAACAGCAATCCCAAAAAAATATCGTCATTGTAGGCATGACCTGGTACACCATTGTTTGAATTAGTGAAATGGCAGCTTGTGGGTGTTTATTGGAGTGGGGAGACAGCCGTGGCCCAATGGGTTTGGGTATGTTGTCTCTTCTACCAGGGGGTCTGGCTGGGGGACTCCTATTCTAGCACACACAAAAATGGATCGAGGTCCATGTGTCACTAGAGGTTCCTTTTTCATCCTTTTTCCTTCACAACTAATCTTCTGCTAAAACAGTCACGAGATGACATGAGGAGAAAAGGCCACCTCCCCATCAACTTCCCTCCATACCTACACCCAACTCAAACCTCTCCCCTGCCGCTGACAGGACACCGCACCAGCTCATGTTGCCGCACGCGCTCAGCACAAACCTTGGCTCAAATTCGCCACGGAGTATCCAACCACCAATCAGTCTCCCCGAGGTTGCTGCTCTTGTTTTCGGAGATTGTCCTCCCCATCTGGAAAAGGGCTCCCATCTGGAAAAGGGGAATCCGAACGAAACATTGGCTTGGAAACAGTTTTTAGACTGCGAACACAATTTGGCAAATCAAGAGGCACCATACCATGATCCAGTTATATATCCAACTATAAGTTATGACAGCCCCAGGGGGAACTGGCTACTTCAGAGGGACGTCCACCTAATTATAGGTATTCTGCTTGTCGGGTCAGAACCATGCAGCCGCGACACTGCTTGCGCCACTGATCAGCCAGCAGCGGTACAGCGGTGGCCCGCCCTTTGCACCCCAAAGCGGGTGCAAAACACCGGCAGCGCACATCGTCGGGCCTTGGATCAAACCGTGTGCACAACGACCAATGCTTCGACACGAAGGGGGAGGGATTCAAACCCAGTGGAGTTGGTGCAGAAGCACTTTGGCTCCGGCACCGGCCTGCCTGGATAGGATGGGAAAGGGCCACGCAAAATGCAATGTTGAAGCGTCAAAGCGGCTGGGAGTTGAGGGCATGTTGACATCCTTCCAACATGGATGGCTCATCAGCTGGGCTGTTGATAAAGGCAAGGCCTTTTAATTCCAATCTGTATGTTCAAACCGTTTGCCGGTCTCTGTAACTCCAATCACTTACAAGGTTGGACTTATCCCGGAGTTGCCTCTTTTCGTCCTCGGTCCTCACCTTCCAAGTGTGACAGGGTGAGCTGAAGAAGAAACCATCATGATCCATCATGTAGACTCTTGATTAATCCCCTCCCCATTTGGATTGTGATTCAAGGGAGGTATTTTTCAATTCTACTGATCGTCCAGATTCGAGTGTCTGGTTCAAAGTCTCTCACCCAACCAACCGACGGGCTTCTGGAAAGCTGCAAACTTGCAGTCCCATCCAAAAATATGTGCCACCAAACTCTATAACTGCAACAGTGTAACTGTGTAACAGTGTGACCTACAAAGCCAAAGTCAAAATCTTCGCATTTTGTCTGCCCTTGGAGGCAAACGCAAACTGAAGGAATCATCATCTCTAATCTCTAAGATCTCAAAGCCAGAAAAAATTATCATACTGTTTAAACACTCTGACCCATCACACTATGGGCTTCTTGCAGGACAGATTGAATCGCCTCGTCGATCAGCCTGCATGATTTGTTCAAGTTGACATTTGTGTGCTTGAGCTCATCAATAAAGTCCTTCGCCGTCTGCAGGTCTGCCAGGCGCAATTTCCGCAAATCTGAAGCAATCACACTTTGTGCTGTCCAGCAACCCTTCTCAGGGGGCTTCTTCAAGAAAATGAATAGAAAGGTCTCTGCGAACACTGCATTTGCTCTCACATTCTGGTCCTTCATGTCCACTAGCAAGTTCAACAAGCGTTCTCTTGGTTCATGCTTGAATGCACGAAGTACGGTGGCATATGTCACAATGGTGGGAGTCAAACCAGTCCGTAGCATCTCATCAAAAAAACCCTGAGCGACTTCCGCTCGATTGGCATCTTTGCTGTTGGCACAAGCATTGATGGCTGAGCCAAAATGCAACGCCTTGGCTTCAATACCCTTTCCCTTCATGTAGTCAAGAACTCGTACTGCCGCTTGAATGTCTCCATTGTCTGCCGCTGCATCAATGCGCCCTCCAGCCTGCTCTTGACCAACAGCATTCTGCTGAACCAACTGATCCCAAAGCCTTTCAACTTCGTCAAGTTGCCCCAGCTTCCCCAGGAGCTTCATTGAAATGGTATACGTAGGCAGCGTCATGTGTCTGACCCTTTTGTAAACTTGGAAGCCTTCCTCGTAGTCCTTCGTCTTCAAAGCTGCTTGCATTGCAGCAGTGAGCACCCATGGACTAGACCCAGAATACTTGGAAAACACAGCTTGCCATTGTCTGTTCTTTCTGTTGCCTGCTGCTTTAAGCTGCGACGCGAGCTGCTTTTCCTCTTCTGTTGGTTCATGTACCAAGTTCTCTGTTGTGTTGACTACCAAATTAAATCTTGCCCCTGCAGGGCTATACACGCCCCAGCCTTCTTTCCGACGTACGACATTCAAAGGAACCTGCTTCGGCTGCCCAAGGGGAACATGCGCATTGTCCTGCGTGGCTAACGCACTGAAGGATGTCGAACGAAACCAATCAGCGGCGCGCGACTTCCTTTCGCCAGGCTTCACCACTCTCGACCTTGCCTGGCAAAACGAGAGGAAGCCGCAAGCCTTTACATGCTGAAGCACACACGGATGGCATGCGAAACGCAGCATGCGCTTACTCTAGGATGGAAATGATTTTTGTATATTTTGAGAGTATTCTTCATCTCAACTATGAGATGTCAAAGACCTTTAATTTAACTCACACCGCTGTAACGCGTTGCTTGATCCATATCATCATATCGGTATCTTTCATGAATCGTCACCCTATCTCTGGTATCTTGAGGAACTAGTCCATCAGTCAAAACAGATCACCCGGAAATAGAATTCATCCCTGACATTCACAACATTAGTTGGGTTTCTACCAAAATTTGTTTGAGGGACTATGGAGCCCGCATACGTGCCTATAAATCCTCACACCAAAGCGCACCCAAAGACCCTCTCAGGCATTATATAATCCTATTGGGGGTTGGGTGATCCAACGGAACCAAATGACCTTACGTCAAAGTTACGGTGTGCTTTCCTTCCAGGGATTCAAACATATTCTATAGCCCCCAACTTGAATGGAAGTCACCTTCTCACCAGGGATTCTCACCTTCTCACCCACCATGGTCCCAGGTGCATGGATTTCCATGTTGAGATTGGACCCACACCCTTCATCATCTTCATCAAACTATCCCCCAACAAGGTTTTATCCCCTAACCTTTGGGAAAGCGTGACCAGCAGGCTCGTGGGACAAATGAACCATCAGGGCTATCCGGCCAAATCCACCCAACATGATTCTCCTACAACCCAACAAAAGAGTCTTTCACCAATTACAACACCAATGTCCAGGAACCTGTCAACATATCGTTGACCATCTTTGTCAACAATGCCCTCGCAAAAGAAGTGGCACATAAGAGTCAGAGTATTTCTCAGCGACCGAATCACCACATATTACCTTGCAACTCATGCCAGCGGAAATGCTAGGCGCAGAGCACAAGTGCCACAACGGAAAGAAGTAAGTTTTGGGAGTCATGGAGGCACTGTCTTGCTAATAGGTGCTCATATGACTCGTATGTGCTCATGTACCTTCCATATGAGGAATTTGGGGCACTTTGCCCTGCCTGGCTGGATTCAGTGGGAGTCCTTAAGAGGACGACCCCCAAAGGTCCACGTTGCCACCGTATACTGAACTGGTCTCAACCTAACAAACCGCCGCTCACAAAGTCCATGAACTCTCCCTCCTTCCCTCCGTCCCTCCCTCCCTCCAAGGTGACCGCACCGCCCCTCCATGCCTCCCTGGGCCATGTGTGATTTCTTTTTCTCTTTAAAGAAGCATGTCTCACGTCTCCGAGTTCGTGACCTTCTCAACCTCTCTGACCCATCAACCTCTGCGCTTCTTCCTGGACCCTTCGCAGCGCCACGTCGATGGCCTCGCAGGAGCGAGTGAGGCGGACGCGCGGACGTGCATCGTCCCTGAGCTCCTCGATGAACTCCTTGGCCACCTGCAGGTCCGCCAGAGGCCGCTTCCGCAGATCCGAAGCAATCACGTCCACCGTGGTCCAAGCGCCTTTTCCCGGTTGCCGCAAGAAGATGAAGAGAAAGGATTCTGCGAAGACAGAGTCTGGCTTCACATGTTGGTCTTTCATATGAACCAGCAAGTCCAGCAAGCGTTGCCTTGGTTCTTGTTGGAACGCACGAAGTAAGCTGCAGTATGTGACGATATTCGGCTTCATGCCAGCGGCGAGCATCTGATCAAAAAAGCCTTGAGCTGCTTCGGCTCGACTTTGATCTTTAGCATTTGCACAAGCATTGATGGCAGATGAAAAATGTAACACGTTGGCTTCAATACCTTTTCCCTTCATGTAGTCCAGAACTCGTCCCGCTGCTTGAATGTCTCCATTGTCTGCAGCTGCATCGATGCGCCCTCCAGCTTGAGGTTGGCCAACCAGGTCCAGTTCAATCAGCTGTGTCCAGAGTCGTTCGACTTCATCAACTTTGCCGAGTTTGCCAAGGAGTTTCATTGCAATCGTATATGATGGTAGGGTCATGTGGGTGAGCTTCTTGTAAATCTGAAAGCCTTCTTCATAGTGTCTCTTTTTCAGTGCCGCATGCATCGCAGCAGTCAGCACTACTGGATTGGATCCAGAATATGAAGATAAAACGTGCTGCCATTGCCCATTCTCTTTGTTGGCTTCGCCACGGAGCTTGGAAACAAGCTCTCTTTCCTCCAGTGTTGGCACAACTTCCAGGTCTGTTGGCTCAACTTCTCCCTTGGCGTTCGTTACTATGCCCCAGTTTTTGCCAGCATGTGTATACATTTCCAAGCCCTCTCTCCGACGTAGGACATGAGTAGGAGCCTGCTTTGGCAGCGCAAAGGCATCCTGTGCATTGTGGCGAGTGGAAACGAGCCAACCAACAGCACACAACTTGCTGTCTCTCTGCCAAGCAAATCTCAGGCTACCTGCAACTCGAGATGCATAGCCACAAACTTTGGCATGCTGAAAGACAGGCGTTCCACGGGCAAAAAGCTGCATGTATTTGCTCCACGCTACTAGATTTAATTTGCAATTTTCAACGTGAAAACATATGCCAAAGATTGCCAAAGTATGGTGCTCTCGTCCTGTATAGAAAAGTCCCACTTATAGATTTCATCTTCGGAGTTGCCTGAACCTGAACCTCACAAAACAAAGATTAGATAGAACCCCAAATATTGAGCCCAAGAAGACCATCGCACTGTGTGCAGGGCTTTGTTTCCATGTGGCTTAGGTTGGACTTGGTTTCCATGGAGAAAACACATGTTTTTTTCCCAAAGAGACTGTGACACTGTGGTTTTGAGCCAGTCTGACACAGTCTCATGGATCCACCAAACAGCGACAATCTCATGAAGACCCTGAACAACGGAGGACTTCCCAACCAATATCAAGCAGTCGCACACCGATACCACGTTGAAAGCATGAACCCTGGTGCCCCTCAAAACATCGACAACATAGAAACGATCATCCTACCCTGGTAACATTGTAACATCTGGCAACTACTATAATATATCGTTGTAAGCTCACACCACGTTCTAATGTCAATCCTCCGTCTCCGTTGCACAACAAACCTCACACCTCACCAGCAAAACAAGGTCCTCCCTCACTCGATCATCCACTCAGTGCCACCCGAGCTGCGTCCTAAGCTCCATCAACTCGAGGTGACCGAATCTACAGCGCCAAGCGTCCTGGGTTGGGCGATGCTCAAAGATATAGGACAAACATGGACAAACAGTAGTCCCAGGCTGGCGTTCGCAACCGAGGTGAACAGGTAGTAAATCCCTTGCAAATAGATATTTAACGTTTTTAATGAATGATTTTCCCTTTACGATAACCACACACTTGATAATCTTAGTTGGTCTGCCGGTGTCGCATAATAACATCCTTCCACAATGCCCTTCCGTTGGGGCGTGGGCACATTGTATTACTGAAAGTGCTACTGCTACTGGCCAACTCCTATAAACAAATTACCTGGGGTGCAAAGCAACTAGTCCATCGCACCGTTGCGTCATCGCTGGATCCAAACATAGCCAAAGCAGTGGTTTAAGCATGTTCGACCTATGCCTGGACGTGTTTTGAAACCATTGACATCCCTATCTTTGCATTAGAGCTGCGACCGACTTTTGAAGATGACAAAGCTTGTGGTCTCAAGTTGGACCAAGCAAATAAAGAAGGTTCAACGGGCCTGTTGTCAGTCTGTACATGGGGCTCTGAAAACAAAGCCATGCTCCTGCCGTTACCCCCGCACCCAATTCCTGGTCCACAAACAAACATGTGCAAGTGACTAGTGCAAAAAGGCCTCGCCTCCAGAGCAGGAATCGTCTCCACCCTCCAAGCACTCCCATTTTATCCGCAAACAACACCCAAAGTCGCAGTTGGGCGGGCTGGATGAGCTCCTCAATCGCACAACCAATCAACCCTTTTTACATAGCAAATCACACCAGTGGGAAAAAACTTCTATAGCACTTCTCACTCCAACGACTGCCAACGGTTCTCACGGCGATGCTCCAAGTCCTCGCCCTCACGGGTGAATGTCTTCTTTCTTTGGACCGACTGAAGCGCTGCCTCGATCAGCTTACAGGATCTGCTCAAATGAACCTTCGCATCCCTCAGCTCGTCTATGAAATGCTTTGCTGCCTGCAGATCCGCCGGAGGCAGTCTCTGCAGATCCGCAGCGATGACGCCGACCTTGGTCCAGCCACCCTTTTGGGTTGATTGCAAGAGAGTGAAGAGAAAGGTTTCTGCGAACACGGCGTTGGCCATCACGTTCCGGTTTTTCATGTCCTTCAGGATGTCCAAACAAACTTCAGAGGGTTCGTCTTGGCGAGCACGAAGCAAGTTGGTGTATGTCACAATATTCGGCCTGATCCCCTTCGTCACCATGGCATCGAACAACTCTTGAGCAGATTTTGACCGAGCTGCAGTCGCAGCATTGGCACATGCGTTGAGGGCTGATGAATAGTGTAAAGTATCTGCCTCAATGCCTCCTGCGTCCATGTAGTTGAGAACTCTGGCAGCTCCTTCCATGTCTCCGTTGTCTGCCGCCGCATCAATGCGAGCTTGAGCTGCAACTTTGTTTATTCTACCCAGCTCGAGTAGCTGTTCCCAAAGCCTTTCGACTTCATCGAGTTTCCCCAGCTTGCCAAGGAGTTTCATCGAATTCGTAAACGCAGGTAGATCCATCTTGCTCATCTCGAGCTTTTGATAAGCCTTTAAACCCTCCTCATAGTCCCTGTGTTTCAGTGCCGCTTGCATGGCAGCAGTAAGCACCACCACACTTCGCCCAGAATACTTGGCAAACTCTTCTTGCCACTGTCCGTTCTTGTCATTGCCCGCTGCTTTAAGCTGAGAAGCAAGGCCCTTTTCTTCCTCCGTTGGCTTTATCACCAAGCTTGTTTCGTTAGGCCCAGTTGGGTTCATTACCATGTCATTCCGGTCTTTCCGAGCAGGACGATGGACACGCAAACCAGCTTCCACTCGCTGGAAGTACGAACCAGCTTGCCTTGGCAGCGGAAAGGCATCATGTGCTTTGTAACGTTTGGGTGACAAAGCGAAATCCGTCGAACGGATCCACTCTGCTGCATGACATGACTTGCTATCTGCATGTCCCACTGCTCTCAAGCCACCTGTGATACGTTCGATGGCACAGGCAGCACGCATAGCAACAAGCTTTGGCATGCCGAAGCATGTATGTGCCATGAGCCAATTGCAGCATGTCCCTGTCTGCGGTTCAAGAAACAGACTTTGGGGTGATTCTGAACTAGAGATTACTGGACTTAGAGATTACTGAACTAGAGATTGCTGGACTTCCACTGGTGCAAAGACGTGTGTTGCTTGACCATTTGTCCAAAATCCTGGAGGAGTTGCCTTGCTTTGAGGCTCACGCCCTCGAACCAAGTGCTCGCACAATGGGAGTGGAGCCCTCTGACTAGGGTCATCATCTTTTTGAGTTTGCCCACACATGTTGTTGTTTCAAGCAGGCAAGAACAATGGTGAAGAGCTTGTTCTTCATTTTATTGCAGCTTAATGTTTTGAGATGTTTGAGGATGTCATCCATCAGCGACAAAAACAAACCGGCACAGTCACCAAACACAGCAAACATTAGATTTTCCTCATCTCCCCAACCTAACCTCCCAGGTGGGCTTGTAAGCTCAATGGAGCATCGCTGGTGGCCCCTGGTCCTAGCAGATCGGCAGATTGGCCCTTTTCATGTCACAAACAGCAAGATATGTTTATATCAGCACACTCCATGTCACTCCTCACCCACCATTGTCCAAAGAAAATGAACATCTTCCCACTCGATCACCCGCAATTGAATGTCCAAGCTGCTGAAGCTCTGTCTGTGGAGTGTCGATGAATCCACAGTGGCAGGCGGCCTGGTTGGGTCATCTTCCATGAAGCTTGTGGCGATAAAAAATCTCACAGAAAGAACACAAAACCTGCACGCACAAACAGGTTTGGCCGTCTTATCAGAAATCCATGGCTGTGAGCCACGATTCTGGAATACATCCAGGTCCTAGACTCCTAGAGATCTGCGAAACCGATGGTGGTCCTCATAAACCTGGTCTTGGAGGCTGTGCAATCTTCTCTACAGTAAGGTTCACATATCCATGAAAAGCGGGAGTATCTGGTTTGGCAAACACCCGCGGCGAAATCTCTACCATCCTTCGGGGGCATGTGATTCCTCACTACGGCTTAGCCCGTGCCGGTGTCAATTCCCCTACCTGTGTAACTGTGTACAGGGTGATTGGAACAAATTTGAACAAACTCAGTGGGAGGTAGAGCGGATGCTGCCCCGATCTGCCACTGGAAGATTTCACCTGGAGATCGGGATTGAACATGCAGTGTTCTTCTGATGCCTGAAGGTCCCAGGGACCTTGGGAGATGATTGAGGAGTTTTTCCCCAAATGGTGGCTCATTGCTTCCTCTGAATCAACACACGAGCAAGTGCCAATTTTATATCCAGCTCTAGATGGAACACCTCACGTACAAAGAATATTCAATTCATTTCACTTCAATGACATTCACCTGAAGCATTTCGGGCTGACAAACTCAAAGCCATAGAAATTAGTGAGTCTTTTGGAGATTATGCCACTCATATCCACTCATATGTTCCAAAGGACTGGTCGGGAGTTCGTCATGGTCTCTCCTGTAAAACCATGTATAGGCTGGAAAAGTTGTCTTGCCAAACGGCCCAATCTTTTTATCCCAGAAGCTCATCCCTAATTGCCACGCTCCAGCACAAAGGTGATTTGAAGACCGCATCCTTTGCAAGGATCAGTCACTAAGGACCCTTTGAAGCGCAGCGTCGATGAGCTTGCAAGACTTGTTCAATCGAACCTTCGCATCCCTCATGTGGTCAAGAGAGTCTTTTGCTGCCTGTAGGTCAGCCACAGATTGTGTCTTCAAATGTGCAGCAATGTCTTTGATATTGTCCCAGCAGCTTTTTGGAGGCTTCTTCAAGAGTATAAAAAGGAAAGACTGTGCAAACAGCGTGTCTGGTCCAATATTCTGGCTTTCCATCTCTACCAGGAGGCTCAACAACTGCTGCTTAGGCTCTTGCCGCAACGCACGCAGCAAGTTAGTGTATGTAATGATATTGCGCTGGACACCCCTTGCAACCATTGTATCTACAAGACCTTGAGCCGACTTAGCAAAATCTGCTCCTTTCGCGTTTGCGCAAGCATTGATGGCTGAGGAAAAGTGCAAAAAATTCGCCTCAAGTCCTATTTGATGCATGTAATCAAGGACTTGCATTGCCCCTTCGGCATCCCCGTTATCTGCTGACGCGTCAATTCGTGCTTGAGCCGCAACTTGGTCCACCTGGTCTAACTCTGTCCAAAGTTCTTCGACTTTGTCGAGTTGCCCAAGTTTTCCAAACAGCTTCATTGCAATTGTGCATGTTGGCCGTGTCTTCTCTCTTATGTTTTCAAAGATCTTTAGGCCTTCCTTGAAGTCCCTCTGCTTTAGTGCTGCCTGCATTGCTGCATTAAGCACTATCGTGTTAGATCCCATGTATTTAGCATACACCTTTTGCCATTGCCCAGGCTCTCCATCGCCTGCGATCTTAAGATGAGAAGCCAGCTCCTTTTCCTCTGTGGCTAGCTCGATTTCAACACTGCTGTTGACTGGTGATCGGAAGTGCCCCGGATCGCTATGACGACCCAAGCCCTCTTTCTCTCGCATCCGGTACGTAGGAGATAGCGCAAACGTAGCACATCCCTTGAGGATGGGATGAAGGGAAATTGAAAGAAGCAGAATGACGCAAAGCAAAGGCACACGGGTTGCTCTCTTCATGGCGCGTCATTCAAAAGCCTACGCCCACTTTTGCTGTGTGTTGAGACAAATCTAGCATGCTCTTTCATGCAGCTGCTGACCTGGTCCACATCGAAATGGCAAACACACATTGCATGAAAACACCCAAAAGGATGAAAAACGATGAACCCTCAAGCCTCAAGACACTGGGAGAACCCCAAGAACCCAACAACTTGTCTCTCAGTTTCTCTAAGTTTATTGAACCTAAGATCCCTGTCTCTCTCAACATGATCTCCCCCGAATCCAAAGACTTTGTCATTTACACTCAAAGTCGGTTCCCTCTCGACCGTTCTTCGAAGAAATGGCTCCACTCAGTCAAGATCGGCCTGCGAACGTGGCACCGGCAGCGCGGCGGTTCCGCGGGTCGCAGGCGCCAGGTGGCGATCCAAAGCTCGATGGCACCGTGGTGGTTCCCTCATGGAGGACGCAGGACCTGGGATATGTGAGTGTCCTCCTAGGTTTGGTGACTGAACCCAGTCTTTACGTCTTAAGCCTTCAGTCCTCCCAAACCAAAATAGTTTGATGGAACAAACTTACTTCGGAAAGGAACATTGCCAAGCAACGGGTGTCAACAAAGGGTAAAACGTACAGAGGCTGCTTCCGGTTCTTACAGTAAATTTCAACATACATATCTCCTATAACCGCTAGCGAAAATATGAGACTGGTCAATATCATGCAGCCTAGGCCTTCTTCATACTGGGCCAAATTATCTCTTATCAGCCAAAGTAACCATGCATGGCCTTTGACCTCATCAGCTTCAAGCAAAGCTTCGCCTTTTATTCTATTCAGTACTGAAGCCACTCGCAAAGAAATGAAAGCATATACTCTAACATCATGGGAGCCATTTCAGCTGTGCCTGGTCTACCGCCCACCTCATCCGACGAAGCAGACCGTCAGTCGAGCCACCACTGAAGGGACTTGACCTCCAAGAACCTGGCGGTGAGAAGGTTGGGAACCGGGAATAAATGAAAAACAAATTCCAACATCACTGGGCATATGCCACTTCACAGGCTTGGACACGTAGACGCAGCGGTGACAAACTATAACGCAGAAGTAACAACAATCAACACCACCAGATAAACAAACAAACATTTTGCGTATTTATACATTGCTGTACATAATTGTACATACATTGTCATATGCGTCTGTAGACTCAAGGCTGCCGAGCACTTTTAACCGCCTAGGCCTATGCCACTTTGCGAGCTAGTTGTCACGCTTCTTGGTTGATAAAGGTCATGTGATGTCTCACAAAACTGCTCTTCTGGATGATCCTTTCTCAGCAACTTGTGCAGGAAGGGCTCAAAAGCCAGCTCAACTAAACGAGTGAACGAACTGCTTCCTCAAAATGGACTTAATGGCGACATCAATCAACTTGGACGACTTGCTCATCTTCACATTTGCATCCCTGAGCTCGTCAATAAAGCGCTTTGCCGCCTGCAGGTCAGACAAATCCAGCTTCTTCAGGTCTGCAATAATTTCCTTTAGTGTCCTCCAGCAGCGACTGTCAAGGGGGCTCTTCAAAAAAATGAAAAGGAAGGACTCTGCAAAGATTCTGTTTGGCTTCACATTTCGGTTCTTCATGTCTCGAAGCAAGAGCAAGCAACGTTGAGATGATTCGTCCCGGAAAGCACGAAGCAAGTTGGCGTATGTCACAACATTTGGTTCTATTCCTTTGCCCACCATTCGATCGAAAAACAGTTGGGCTTTTTGAGCACGGCCTGTGTCTTTGGCATTTGCACAAGCCTTAATGGCGGATGTAAAGTGTACAACACCCGCCTCCATGCTATTCTTCACCATGTAGTCCAGGACAGCTTCTGCTCCCTGAATGTCTCCAGCATCTGCTGCAGCATCGATCCGTACTGCAGCAAGCACTTGATTGACCAAATCCAGCTCAACCAATTGTCCCCAAAGCTGTTCCACTTCATCAAAGCGACCAAGTTTTCCAAGAAGCTTCATTGCAATCGAAAACTCAGCTACTGTCATGCACCTGAGCCTTCTATAGATCTTCAGGCCTTCTTCATATTCTCTCTGTTTGATTGCTGCATGCATTGCAGCACCAAGGACTACTGGATTTGACCCAGTGTAGTTGGCAAGCAGTTTTTGCCACTGTCCATTCCTTTGCTCACCTCTATCTTTGAGCAGTGCAGCAAGTTTCCATTCCTCCTGCGTTGGCTCAAGCACCTGGCCTGGTGTGTGCACCCAGTCTCCCCCCTTTCTGGCCACTATTACATCGACACTCCCCGCAGCAGACGTATGGATATCCAAACCTGCTCTCTGACGAGCGACATGTGAACCAGCCTGCTTCGGCACAGCAAAGCCGCTGTCATACTGGCTTCTTTGAACACATGTTGATAGAAGCAAAACGAAGCCAAGCAGCAGCACCCCACTGGCTCTCTTCATGGCTTGCCGATCTCAAGGTTTCTGCGACTCTCTTACTGAAACTGTGAGCAGGGCAAGGAGAAGGACTGCAGATTTGACAAATCAAGGCAGTGGTTGGGTATTCTTCTCGTTCAAACAAACAGGAAACATTTAATTACAGAATGCATTCTCTTAGTTCCCTCACTGCATCTCCCTGAGAGACTTCCACTGCAATGACCTTCCCACCCACTGAGGCTGCAGGTAGGCCTTCAAAAAGTGCTCAGTACAGCAGGCTTGCATAGGCAGCATAGGATATTACTGGCTGCAGGTGGAACAACCTCCGCAGTGCAATCGGACTTTAGAGGTGAAAGTACAGGACCTTGAGAGATTTTGGGGTGTGCATCTTTGCAAAGGTCTGCACAATATGTTGATTTGGCGGCTTCGGGTAATGAAGGATATTTTGTGCATGAGGGTCAGACAGCAGTGCAATGGCAAAGTGATCACACACACACACATCACATCCCAGAGATCAGAGTTCAAAAGAAAACTGTCCGTTTGGTGGAGTGGCAAGTGTAATACGCACTCCATGCATCAACCCTGCGATCCCAATACACAGCAAACTGCTTTCGTGTCCTACTGATGCTTCTCATCCCCTCCCCTCCCATAGCATATCAATCACTGCTCACGGTCAAACCTCTACCGGACTTTGGCATTTCCCCGCGACTTACAACCAACAAAGGTTCGAGTCTAAGGAATCAGCACAAAGGAAAGTGCGAATGGCCGTGATTTGAGAAATGCACCAAAATACCAGTGTCCATTGATTCGCTTCAATGCAAAATAGCAACTAAGAACCATCATGCTACCACCGAATCGACTTTATGACTCTTCAACAACAACAAAACAAACTACTCACTGGAAAAGCATGACATAATACATTCACTGCCCACCGGTGTTCATGCCCACACTGATCCCCGCCAATCCTGCGACCTCACCGCGTCTCGGCCCGCAGCCGCTGCAGCTGCCGCACGAACTGCCGCCGCCCGGCGCGGTGGAGGAGCCGCTCGCGCCGGAGCTGGGAGGACCTGGGAAGTGACCAACTCAGCAACCACTGAGCAGCCGGCGCTTCTGAGTGGGTTTTGCTACTCTTGGTGCAACAACTTAGAGTTGATGCATGAATAATTGTGGAGACGTGGATAGACAATAATGTCGAATCCAAATTTGTAAACTAGGAGGGTAAATATCGTTTTCACAAAAGTATTCCCACAGCCTGAACAGGTTGGTGGGTGGAAATAATAGATTGTGTCTTTCCCAGAGTGTACTTTAGGTCTGTTTTGTCCATTGATTGGGAACTTTTAAGAGGGTAGTACACAAGCCCAGCGGAAGTGAATAATAAGAATTGTTTAGGGGGGGGAATTAATGTGCCAACTTGGTGTCCTAAGAAGAATACCGTATCCAAGCTTCTTTCTACTGCACTGCTATTGCTGCCATTTAAGATCCTTGTCAACTGAGAGCTGCAAATGCCTGACTGTCTTGCTCTTACTACTACTACTACTACTCCTCCTCCTCGTCCTCCTCCTCCCACTACGACCACTACCACTACCACTACCACCACCACCACCACGACTACTACTACTACTACTACTACTACTACTACTACTACTACTACTACTATCACTACTAACACGACCACGACTACTACTACCACTACTACGACTACGACTACTAATTCTCAACCAGTTTGGTGGGTTGACTCTATTCAGTCTCCCTCGATTGTTGGCTATAGGAGGGGGGTGCACTTTACTATCTAAGATCGGACATCATATGGGAACTATACTATACTGTGTTTTTGGAACTTGCATGAATGTGCTGTTTTACCTCCTGCAATCTTTCTTCGACTTCTGTCATGACCTTGAAGCGGTACCAAGCCGTACCCTTAGCCTCATCCCATCCTTCTGATGGGTGTCTAAAAGCAGGATGCCACAAGATCCCTTGACCATGCCTTTCTTCCTGGCGACACACTTTCGAGCCTCACTTTGCAGGTTTCCCTTGACCAACCACTTCCGCGTTTCGCGCTATTTTGCAATAAACAAGCAGTGCTTTCAATGTTTCTTTGACTTTGACCAACAAATGCACTACTTTCCTGGAACAAACTCTCCTGCCAGGCCACAGCCGCGACACCAGGAAATGTGGCGCCCGAATTTGGCGGTGCCCAAAGCCCGTGCTGGAGGAGCTCGTTGTTCTGTTCGGCCAAAGAAGCTCCTGCGACGTGTAGATGGAGCCTGGATCTTAGCCACCAAAAAAAAGTACAAAACCTGAAGCCATAGTAGGGAGTGGATAGAAATCGAACAAGGTGGATTTTTTGCCCAAAGGTAATCGGAATCACATTGGACTATTTTTGATGATCGCCTCCTCTAACTGGTGCTTTCTAGAGAAGCTCCACAAGTGAGGTGCACTCCTGACAAGGGCCTGCCGCACCCGTCTTGCTTCAGTTGGAGGACCACTTCACCCAGCTTTCTTGGCAGAGGCTTAGCACGTGCCTGACGCCCCCTTCAAGCCACCCACCATCGTCGCGTCTGTCTACTGTGTGTCTATCGTGTCTAGGTCCTGGTTGTTGAGCTTGAGGTATGGGAAGTGATAAGCAATCACTTCCTGAAAGCCTGGCCGATCGGCTGCCTAGGCGTTAGTGGATTTGGTGAGAAGGTGGGTATATATCTCAACCACTTCCAGGACACTGCTCGGCCAAGGCAGGTCATCATCCAATAAGTTCGATCAGAACAAAGCAAACAAGTGTCCGCCCGAATGATTTCTGCGACGCCAAAAAAGCAGTCTATCTTGGTTCCTTTGCTCTGGCAAAGCAAGCATAATGCCGAAGCCTCTCTTAAAGTTTGCCTTTGCTAAAGCGCAACATAAATCCTGCTTGGCCTCACAGATCTGAAAGTGTGAAAGGTTGGAAGAAAGCCTAAACTTGCAGTGGGACACACGTCAAGTTAAGGCAGACTGGACTTCCTGTAAACCACCGATTCAACAATGGGCGATTAATATCATACTGCATAGGCTGAGATAACATGGGATAACCATGGGCTCCATGGCGTATCATTATACGTAGGTTCGCTCCAAATGCCAAAGTCATCTTGCAAAGCAACCTTTCTTCTTTGGTAGCGCATCTTGAGGACATGTACTTTGCATCAAGTTCTAAGAAGCCCAAAGCTCAACTAAAACACATGTGCTTCGTGTGATGATGAGCAACATTTATCGGAAAAGCAGCGCCCACCGACCAAAGACTAGGATACAAATCAACCAGATTATCAGACAACTCTGAAAGAGCCAACGCTCCACCATTGCCTGGTTCAGGCAGAAGAACCACACACTTCCTCATGCGCCAAATTGCCAAGGCCACACTCCCCTGGCATAGAAAGACGATGGAAGAGGATCCAAGCCCCGTCAGTAAATGAAGCCTAACTTCAATGTCTGATCGTTGTTTATGACTTTCTTGACGGGTTTGTAGAACTTCAAAAGGCCCGTTCGCTGATGCTTATTCATCATCTTGCACTACAATACATTTTATGGCAATGGTGATAAGTCAAACAAGCAGCAGCAGCACCAACATGCAGTCAACTGACACTTTATTCTGCATGTCTGATACGATATGTTGTTCTCCAAGGCTTTTCCAGGTTCCCCACTCTTCTATCGGCAATACTACACTCTTGTTGGAGCATAGGGAGAGGATTCACAGAAGCCCCTGACTGCGACTGCATGATGGATTTTCCGGAAATGCTTGGAGCGCCAGTGCTTCGCTTCATCAACCATCCCCTCATCACTCATCCCTAGAACCGGTGTCCACAGAATCCGACGCCTCAGGGTCCAGTAGACGTGAGAGCTGTCGGCGCCCTGGCAAGAGCGTTTTTGTCCCGTCCCAGCCAAGGCCTGTTGGACCACACATGTCTCTGTTGTAAGCCACCTCTATCGGTTGAGTCTGTTGGAGGTCAGTTCGGATTCCTACCATGTTGTACCAAAACTTGGCCACTGAACTTTGCCCCGGGACTTGTAAGTCTATGCATGTGAAAAAAGTATTTGACAGTGCGACGGCTATAGGAAATAATAGCATATAAGAGGCGGCCATCCTTGTCTTGTGCCAGGGCAAACCAATGGTTGGCTGCCAACGTGCCTATTCAACAACCACAACATGTTGCGTAGTGCTGGCACAAGCTTAAGTTGTTCTTTTTGGAGCTTGCATTTACCCCTTCGTGTTTGCCCATGTCACAGACTCTTGTTTTTTTGATTAACTCCCTTGCGTCCGCTACTCTTACTCTCATGTGTGATTCCACACTGTTTGTGTTTGCTTTGGACCTTGTGTCCATGTCTGATTCCACCATACTATGTTGCCTTCTTGCATGGAACTTGTTTTTCCTGCAAGTAGGTGCAAAATTCTGCATTCACAAAATGGCACTGGAACACCGTGGTCGTCTGCTTCACCGGACCATTTTGGTTGCAAAAAAGATCAAAACGGCTGCTCGGAGCTCTGAAGTTCCAACCTTTACGGACCAGATCCGTAAGGCGGAGCAGCGGCAGGAACGGCCTGACACTGACAAAGGGTTGCAGGGGAAACGCCCTCCGCAGAAATGTTTCATTCATGTTGCTCCATTTATATTACACACCCATTTTGTTCCTCACAGAAACAGTTCCAGTTCTTGCAAGCACAGATATGTTCCATGTTGCCAAGAACTGTCCGTGTGGGGATGGGTCAAAGGCTGGAACCCCAACACCATGTATAGCTTGACGTTCCAGCTAGGTCAACCAAAGTCTGCTGGTTGTGATCCCATAGCCATGTAGATTTGTTCCAGTTCCATAGTTCCATGGAGTGTTTGGGAACCAAGCACCGATCAAAATCCTTGAGGATGTAGACCCCGAACACAGCCATGAACCGCTCACGTGCTATCGACACAAAATTGACACACCACGCAAAAAGGGCCAAACCTGGTGCGCCGAAAGCAGCTTCTGGTGGCAAAAGTCTTCCCTGAAAACGTGTTTGCTTGTATCACAGAAGTCCCACACTACACAACACCCCAGAACACGATGAAATCTTGCAGAGTCAAAGGATTTTGTCTGTGAGTTGATGAAGGAAGAAGCGATGGCAAACCTCTAAACTTACAATGAACATGGCTTGTGCCACCCATCATCTCACGCATCGTCTGACTGGATCCAATCCTTGAAACAACGTTTGCATTTGCGCTTGTGATGGGTACTCAGCCTGAGCATAGTCTTTGGGGATGGGCCACACACTTTATATTCAAATTACATGTATGCTGACTAGTGGAAACTCACACAGGTATTTGCTTGAAACAACATGTGCATTTGCGTTCGCGATGGGTACTCAGCCTGGTCCCGACTCACGATTCAGATTGATTTAAAGTTTGGGGGTGGGCCAAAGCCTCTACAAGTCTTAAGCCTATGAACAAAATGAAGAGACACATGTACAATAATATATATTTGTGTTGTTCGTGAGAACTCACGAAGTGTTGATTTGCTGATTTGCTTTCTCACAATTCTCACAAACACACAAAACACCAAGTTCTCTCCACTCTTCTCCCCCTTTCTGCACCTCACTCGCTCCATCACCAGCAAACACCGGAGCTTCTCGACTCTTCGACCACCTGCCCGCATGTCGCGGTCGCCACCGATCCGTGGCACCGGTCTGGGGGGTCTGGGGTCGGTGTTTTCAACAGATGGCCACTGTGGGGATCATTTTGGAGAACTGCAGTCAAGAAATCCCTGGCCGGTAAGCGAAAGTGACTGCAGTAAGGCCACTTTCACTGTTTCAACAAATGGCCACTGCAGCCAAGACTCCAGTAAGTGAAAGTGTCAATGGTAAAGCTCGAGCGCCCAGTGAACAGAATACATAGAATGGGTCTAAGTGTCGACCAATACCGACCGAACTGGCCCTACCTGCGCAGCCCTTCAGGCGTTGATGGATGGCCTTCCAGTCCAGCGCACCTGTACGGACTCATCACATCTCTGAAAAATCGATCCCAAAGCACAAGGCTTTGAGTCGCAACTGAACTGACAGTGCGTTCAAGATACAGCGTATCATATATATGAGATTTTTTTTCAAAGAAAAACACACATATTATACATACTTACTACAGTAATTACATTAAATGATGATACTATTGTATTATTATGACTACCATCATTATGATATTATGTTCAACGAACGCTTGAAGTTGCACAATGCACCACCCCTCCCAATTGTGCACAATCACAAACGCATAACGCCCGCGCGGACTGCCTGCAAAGACTTCCGAGTGTGACGGCTTGGCTCTCCTTGAAGGATCCAAATAACTGATTTTGGCTGCCCAATAGACGTTCACTGCGTTATCACGAGCAAGGAGTTAACCAAAGAACCACGTCTTATCATTCCATGTATATCATATGTTGGGCTTGAGCATAGCAAGATGTGAAACCAGAATGACTATAAAGCTACCATCCTCTTCTCCAGCCTTCTCTTGAATCCGCAACTCAAAAATCTAGCAACCTCTGCAACTGTCTCTCACCATCAGATCATGTGAAATCCGACCAAAGCCCTGTATTCCAACCATGACCTTCACATGTAATTACTCTTTACTCCATCTGACCTCACACACCAACAAAAACCAACACTTATTGGCACCAGCACTGGATCACCCCCTCACTCCCCCAGGCCTCTGAAACTCTTCCACTGCCTCCCTCACCGCCGCACTCAGCGCACCGTCCGCACCGTCCATGATCAGCAGCGGCTCGGCCCTGCTGGGCGCAGCGTGGATCCACGGAGCACCGTCCTCGGGCGGCGGTCGGAAACGGATCCGTCCGGGCGAACGAGAGGTCGCGTTGGGGGAGGAAAAAGGTGGTGTTGATGAGTGAATGGAGATCTGTTGATTACTGAAATGTTATTGATCGACGGTATAGAATACCAGTAGAGAGTCAAATGGTTCTGAAATGTTCTTAATCGCTTGATGCGGCTTGATGGTTCCTAAATTGATCCTCCAGCACCGCGAAGCTAAGCCTAGGCCTAGATATCTTTACAATACGTGGATCCATGGCTGCCCATCTAAAAAGTAGTTCCTTCCCAAACAACTCAAACCCTTAACAAAATCCCCTATATGCCTTTTCTCATTTTCTCCGTGTTCCTTCCCTCCAACCACTTGCTTTCTCCAAATCGGTTCAACACCACTCTCTCCCACCGGGGCGCCAATGGCGACCACAGCACGCTGCCCTGCGGCTTCAACGGATGCTCCGCCCCGCAGGAGGCGTCCCAGTGCTCGCCCCCCCAGGGCGCCCAGGGCGTCGCGAGGCGCTGCAGGGCGTTGGACCAAAAGTTTCGACCTCGGAGGGCACTTGAAACGGATTCCTGTACTGAACGCCTCAGTTTCCCTGGAAAAATAGTGGTTAAAAAGGGTCATGCACGGACTAATCACTAGGTAGAAGTAGGGATGGGATGTCGTGGATCTGGTACCATTGGTCTAAAAGTTTCAACCAAGAAGAGTGAGGCTACTATATAGATGTAAATGAAAGGCATGTCCACCAAGAACCTGTGGTTCCCCCGAAATCATGTAATGTTTAGAACAGAACACATACTCGTTTCTAGTCCCAAACATGCTTGAGAGAGGGCCCTCAAAATGCTGGTGACAACCGCAAGGCGGTCAATAAAGAAATTGGATTGACAAAGAAAGGGTTTGGGACTTGTGAATCTCTGGTGATCGTCAAATCAAAAGAGAAGGAAACAGGAATAAGGATCTTAATGATTCTTCAAAACCTACATGGTGAGGGAACAAGATCTGGCAGCCTTGGTGAACATCTACCAGATCAATCAAGAATATCGTCCACTCTTGTGAGGGATGTTCACTTTCCCCAGGTGCTTTCCACTTACCAAAAGGTATCTGTCCAAACCACAGCCCTCATGGTTTGATTGTCCACTGACCGTTCCCAAGCAAGAAACATGGTTTGGCAGAACTGCCCCAATTTGTAAAGGACTTCGCACCATCCACAAGGTGTGTGTGTGTGTGTGTGTTAACACCTGTTCCTAAGGTTTGTGCCTAGTCGGTTTCTAGAGGGCTGGTTGCTACTAGTTGCTCTTGGCCTTGCTACTAGGAACTAGAGGCTTCTAGAACCCCAGAGCTCGCCACTACTTGAGAACGAAGAGGCAGGGATGCGGAAAAAAGCAGGGGGCTGGAGTGTGCTTCAGATGTCTCCAGCCAACGAAGACGCATCTGTCGCAGAGTGATATAGTTCTGGGACGCCAGAACTACGTACCTGCCATTTTCAATTGGTTTAACTGTTGACAAGCTGTCTTTTTCCGTGTTTTGCAGTAACTACGTACCTGCCATTTTCAATTGGTTTTAACTGTTGACAAGCTGTCTTTTTCCGTGTTTTGCAGTAAGCGGCTAGTGCACTGAAACAACCTGTTCAACATCTTCAATCTTCCGGACCTCCTCACCTTTCGGTTTGCACCTTCCTTCCAGTCAAGGGGAACTTCGTACTGATAATAGCTCTTGCGAGCAACTCTCTAAGTGTGTTTCGCCACAGGGTCCCACTGCGGGCTGTGGTGTGATCCCCGTCAAGGGGCACGGCATGTGCACAGACCCACTTTATGTGGGGGATCCCTCCTGATCTTCCGTCCTTTATTTCGGAACTTCTCTTGATTCCCTCTGATCCGCGGAGCTGCATGATACCACTGATATGATGCCGCAGGGCTTACTGTGATCCAATTCCAGTCAGGATTCTCACATGCTGCTAAGTATTCACATGTCCACGTCATGCTGCTAAGTATTCACAGGCCAGGTTCAGTCGACTGTGTCACTCGGACGACTTCGGGGTTGCTCGAGGCTTTTAGGTTCAGGTAAAGAGTTGCTCGAGGTTTTTCAGGTTTCAGGTGAAACTGTTGCGCCTTTTGCGCCCGAGCGGAGGGAGAGTTCGGCACGTGAACGACTAAGTAATCTCTTCTGGTTCTTTTGGTTTTTCTTTCCTGCTGTTGCTTTTCGTTTCCTTGAGGTTTCAGGTACCTTTCAGACGGGTGCGCCGGCCCAAAATCGGCTTTACTTGAATGCCAATGATGGCAAAGCCTTCGGGCTTTTTCCCTCCCTGCCCCAGGCCTCTGTTGCTATCCCACCCGCTATTCGGGCAACGGAAGGAAATCGCACTCAACACACTTGTGTGTTGGTGCCTTTCCTTCCGTTTCCCCTATACTATTGCTAGCTACCCGGGCGGTTTAAGACAAAAGTCCCGCTCGCGAACTACGTTCATTTAACTAAGTGGGCCTCGTCACTATACCTATCTTTCTTTCTTGCCCTCTTAGTCTGCTCTTGTTTTGTTTTCTTTGTCTGTCTTTCTAAGGCACTTTAGGTGTCTAGTAGTCTTTTGGAACGTCAATATTGGCGTTATGCGTGCAAAGCTGTTGCCGACAGACAGAGCGCCGAACGCGGCGTCATGTGCGTGTTAACACCTGTTCCTAAGGTTTGTGCCTAGTCGGTTTCTAGAGGGCTGGTTGCTACTAGTTGCTCTTGGCCTTGCTACTAGGAACTAGAGGCTTCTAGAACCCCAGAGCTCGCCACTACTTGAGAACGAAAAGGCAGGGATGCGGAAAAAAGCAGGGGGCTGGAGTGTGCTTCAAATGTCTCCAGCCAACGAAGACGCATCTGTCGCACAGTAATATAGTTCTGGGACGCCAGAACTACGTACCTGCCATTTTCAATTGGTTTTAACTGTTGACAAGCTGTCTTTTTCCGTGTTTTGCAGTAAGCGGCTAGTGCACTGAAACAACCTGTTCAACATCTTCAATTTTCCGGACCTCCTCGCCTTTCGGTTTGCACCTTCCTTCCAGTCAAGGGGAACTTCGTACTGATAATAGCTCTTGCGAGCAACTCTCTAAGTGTGTGTGTGTTGAGGGTAGGGAGGTCGTCTGTCGTCCAAACAGGACACCCCTAACACACCGATGCGCCGAAAGAAGTGTCCAGGGTGCAACCCAAATGCCAAACATCCAAAGAAGCGGGAACACCCTTTTCAAAAGGAGCAAAAAAACAGAACCAGCACTCTCTGCTCCAGTTTTTGTGTCAGTGGACAATTGAGAGTTGAATCCAACATAACAGCATACACCATCTAACCTTCTACAGTACAGAAGCGGGAACCAACTTCCTTCAGCTACTCAGCGCCAACCTGAGCTTTGATGCAACCGTGAGGCTTTCACGGAGGCGTCTGGCATTGTGGGCACGTATCCGACCATGAGTTTTGATGGCATCCAGCCTTAGCGAAACAAAGACATCTCAAAGCAGTGTTTGGAATTGAATGGGGTTTCTTTTTATCTCTCAAGGGTATGTTTGCTCAAGGAGCATGTTTGCAGGGAATCCGAGTTGGAAAAACCCAGCCATCGACACCAAGCCATCCAAGCCATTTTGGACGCCCTGCAACAGCCACCCAGCGTTCATTGAAGTTCGGGAACTCTTCAAGTTCAAGAACCTACAAAATCTATGTGTATATATAATATGATGTAATATGTGCAAGTATGTGTGTGTATATATACACAGTACATCGCCCACCTTCCGTCCACTCATGCCCCTTGTTCCACTGTTCCAAAGGGCTGGTAGACCTGGACTAAAAGGTCTGGTAGGCCTTAGGCCGACGCACCATGCGGAGACCATGGAGTGAAAGAAACTTGAAGGTTCCAAGTTGCTAGTGGTGAATTCCTCGGTCATATCAACCAAAGAACTAACACGAGTCGCGGGGAAATGAGGGTTCCATTTGAGAATGGGAGTCAGCAGCAGCTGGAGGACTTGAAAGCTGGGCAGTCAAGAATCCAGAAGCGAGTTGTACATTGACATGTTTCCGTGAGGTGGTAGGTCCCACCAAAACAACCAGAAAAAGGCTGATTTTACAGACTTACCACCGTTCAAGGCCCACAGTTTTTTTTGCCAAAAGCGCGTATGGGTGGCGTATGGGTTGGGTAGATCCCATTACCAGGTTTCGGTGGATGATGAAAAAGATGAACATAATCATAATCATTGATGACTTATATAATCATAAGGGGATTGAATCATTTATACTTGATATATATGTATACTGTATAATGATGGTTGGCTTGTATGCAAACATCTGTAACATAGTGATGCTTGTTTGCCGACTGTTACAGGTAGTAGGACACTCCCAACATATTTGGGGTCCCAGTAGGGAACCCATGACCAACAGTTGGAGTTCTTGGACGCTGAAAGTCGACTGAACATGATTCAATGATCTTCCTCTACAGCCATATACAGTACTGTAATCATGTAGAGATATGTCGACTGTCGATTCATTTCAACCAAGGACTGGAGATGTAAAGAGCCATTCTGGTACGGGGGTTTTATGTATCAACAGTCTCGATTAAAGCTTGGGCAAATGACACTCTGCAGGTCTTCAAGATCCACCTACCTGGTTCCAAGCAACCGGCCATGCCCCCCACCCGCCAACTCTCGAGCAAAATCTATAGACCTGCCCAAGCGGCTGGCGAAGTGCAGGATGGCAGGAGCCGTCACATACTCGGTGTAGTCCAGCCAAAACTCACCTCTGGCCAGCAGCAAAGTTTTATGGCGAACTCATCCTGGGATGGAAGCTGAACGCCCCGCACTTTCAACACTCGTTTTTGTTTGGGGGGGAGCTTGGTACAGTTGAGGGACAATCTGCTGCCCATGACACATAGAGGGCATTGCAAGGTCAACTGTGTGATTCAAGACATCATCCGTTTTTGTATTGTCTGTTGGGCTGTAATTGCACAAACTGCGTAAAACCATGCAAGTGACTAAACACATGCACATCTCACACCATCCAAAACCATTTGCTGTCCATGTGACGCACTTCCAAGTACTCAAAGTCAAAGGGGGAGAAGGGATGGGTCTCCTGGCGGAAGATCGAAGTTGCTTTCGACAGGAGGACCGTCTTGGACGTAACGAGAAGATGGCACGAGCAGGGAATGTTTGTACAACTGAAAGAACAAAAAACACTCTGAAATCAAACCAATGCGAAACATGAAAGGACTCATGCAGTTGTTGCACAGTTGCTCACGGTTCATAGGGAGGAACATATCGAAACTAGCATCAACTAGCTAAACTTATGGGCTCCGTTAACCCCAGGTCACTGCCCACGCTCCTTCTCCTCCATCTCTGGAAGCCTGGCTCTCGCAAAAATTGGCCCAGGATTTCAATCATGCCTGGAGTCAGGGTGCCCTAGCCCGCCCTGGCGGTCTTCCTCACATGTCCTTCATATCTTCCAGGTGGGCCTCTTTTCGATGTAATCTGGTTGTTGAAAGCTGAAATGGAAGTTGCTATAATTGGTCTATCAATTACACTGTACATACTGTATATACCATATTACCATTACCATGTCATAGCCATTCACTCGCTGGCTCTATCAACCTCTGGAGTTCCAAAAACACAGCATAGCGACCCCAGTTTGGTAGGCCAGTTTGAGGAACAAGACTCATACGTACCACCTCAGTGAGCCTTAAACTGGCTGATCGAACAGGTATCAAACATACCACCTTCGAAAAGCGACCGATCCATCCGAGCCCGATCTTCCAGATGACCTGAATATGGCATATCTCTGGCATGTCCCATTCCCGAGTTAGTTCAACCTCGAAAATCGGGTTGGGAAGCGCCCAGCAGGGACTCATAGCTCATCATATGCAAACTATGCTCATGAAATTCCCCAAAGTACGCTCTTGCGGTAAATGCCAATTGGGTGTTGAACGCCTCCTGGACGAAGCAGACAAATAGGGTATAATGACACTCCAAACATCCATGGTCCATCAGTGAATGTGTAAATAACTAAACTCAGCACCTCGGGTTTCCAATGCCTCTTTGAGTCACACCCTCTCTGTCACAGCTGAAATTCCACCAACAAAAATCGCTGTCAGGACAGGCGCGAACACGTATGAAAGGGTCCGACCTGCCTCTCTTTGAAGGGCATGCCGGTCGTTAAGGACTTCTGGAATCTGGAGAGGAACCTTGGATTCAAGGCAAGGTTTCGCCGACGATCTACACTCCCTGAAATTGACATGATAAAAGTAAAAAACATGTTTGTATAGGAAGAAGAAGGTCATGTGAGGGGTTGTGCCATCCACTTCCATAATATAATTTCAGGGAATGTATCTGGGCAAAGTGCCAAGTTGATAAACTCAAAAGTTAAGGATTCCCCCCACTGCCCCAGTCGGGAAACATTTCATGAACCAACTCCTCCGCTAAAAAAGGACACACCACTTATTGGCTACACATGTCCTATATAGCATGTTATAGCCCCCAACCAACCAGTCTCCACTTCCAAACTCCAGGTCTGCAGTGACGAATTCAATCCGTCCAGGTCCGTCCTCGACGAATTCGTCACGGTGGCCGGTCGAGCGACGTGAAGGCCGTGTGATGTAAGCCATTGCGGTCGGGCAGAAAGAGTGGCACGGCCATGGCGTAGAGATCATGAAACCTCGGAGGGCTCCGGCTCACTCAGGGCGGTGAGAGGTAGGGTTGAAGGAATTTGTGAAGCAACAAAGCAAGGGAGATGGCTCTTTTCTGGAAAAGGTCTAGAGTCTAGAGTCCAGCAGTACGAGTAATGAAACCATGTTTCATACTCTCTTCCTCTTTCTTCTTCTTTTGTGTGCATGTTTATGCCTTCAACTCAAGCACACCTGTCGCCTGTCGCATCAATTAAAGAGTCATTTTTTGTTGTTTGGGTTGTTGATCAATCTCCCATAGTCTCCCCCGTTTTTGCAGCCAAGTCCTTTTTCTGCCACCGTCACACAGATTCAAAGGCAGCGAAGTTGCTCTTGGACCCGACTACTGTCACCGCCACAACGAGGGTCACCCCACGTGACCACCGCACCATCACGCAGCACTGCAACGAAGGCATCATCGGCACCATGGATCTGTTGCACCTGAGGGATGGCTGGAAACACACGTGAAACAGAACACACCTCGTTTGTAGAGGATAGTCGGATAGCCTTGAATTGGGCTATTGCATCCACTTGCAGGTTTGATTTTTATGACCAGAGGAGGACATCTTTTTGAACCCAAGAAACCCCGTGGAACAATAACTAATGTAAGCTTCGAACATGGGGTGTTCTACCCTTCCCCCAAAGTACAAACACCAGGCAGGAGAGTGAACCAGGCAATAAAACCATGTTGACAGTACAATAAAACATGTTCACTATCCTATCTCACCTGCTTCAGCTGCTCCTGAACCTGCCAGCAGTCGCCGCCGTATCTCGCGTCGCCCCACGTGATCACGCGACCCTCTCGGAGGAGCGCCGCCTGCGTTGGCCGAACGCGTTCGCCGAACGCGTTCCGTCCGGTGGAGCCACGGAGTTCGAGGAGTCTCGGAGTCACCGTAGAGGGCTTGGAGTCACAGACCCGCAAGACAAACACCTGCTTGTTCGATTCAATGTTTGGGTGTTCTTCTTTCTATTGAGGGTTTTCCAACAAGGAGCCCTTTTCATGTCCCACCTAAAGATCCCTGAGAAGTTTGACCAAATTGGATATCTTTTGGACTGGAATTCTTAAATATACAACCCACTCGCACAAAATGTCAGAAGCTCCAAGCCTGCACTTCTTGGAACTTGTGGGAGGGAGGGTGACTAAGCTCAAAAACCCAGCAAATGTCTGGGAGGTTCAGAAGAAACACATGAAACTCACTAGGCAAATCCCAGGTAGCAAAGGCGCATCGCGTTGCATGAATGCTCTGCACTCCCTGCAGCTGATGCTCCACATGGCGGCTGTCCCCTCCTTGCTCCATAGCACCCCAAGTAACAACTGTTTCATCACCTGGCAGTGGCTCAGAAGAAACTTTCAGTGAATGAACCTGCTGAAGCGACGCAAACTTTAGATATCAATGGCTTTGGCCCGTCCCCACCTAAGAGTGCAGCGAAGGCCCCTTCTGCAGTGCCCATGATCTCCTTCACATTCTTCAGTCGATCTCGTACATGGCTGCTGTCACCACCAGACTTGGCATCACCCCATGTAACCACGGTATCATTGCTGAGGACTGCTGCAAAGGCCTTCTCATTGGCATAGATCTTCTTCACATCTCTCAGCTCATCCTGCACCAGGCTGCTATCGCCACCAGACTCCGCCACACCCCATGTAACGACTCGTCGAGTGCTCAGCACGGCGGCGAAGGCCCAATGTGTTGCATAGATCTCCTGAACGTTTTCAAGCTGATCCTGCACCTCTGTGCTGTCGCCACCATACCCTGAGGCGCCCCATGTCACCACACGTCGATCATGCAAAACTGCAGCAAAAGCAAATCCGCAGGTGTGGATCTCTTGCACATGTTCTAGTTGATCCTGAACCAAACTGCTGTCACCACCAAACACTGGATCGCCCCATGCAACAACTCCTCCATTTTGAAGCAAAGCCGCGAAGGCACCATCAGTTGAAAAGATCTCTCGAACGTTTTGAAGTTGATCCTGCACTGCACGGCAATCACCACCTCGCCGATCATGTTGGCAAGGTTGCATTGCTTAAACTTGCATCTAATGGGGCTCACCCGAAGCATTGCTACGAGATGTTGAAGTGTTCAGCGGCCAGTGGCTAGGTATCAAGCCTATGTTCAAATGAGAGAAGTCTTCGACCCCTTACCCTCAATCCAAAGGGCTTTGTCAACTCTTGCCCCAGCATATGCTGTTTGCATCCAAGTATCAAAACTGGTCAACGTCTGCAGTTCTGAAGGCATCATTTTCAAGAACCCCAGGTCGGCAGGGCATGGAGAATGGTGGTCTTTCGCTAGGCTGTTGAGAACTACAACTTCTTGAAAGCACTATCCATACCTCCAATACACTCTCAGCCGGCTCCACCACTTACCAGCTTCCAGGCTTGGTGATTTTCTTTAAACCTCACACTGGTCAGCTTCAAATATGTGCCAAATCCTCTGCAGGTGCCTATTATCCGGGTATATCTTGCTCCAAAACCCTCTCTCGCCTTCCTGTGCATGACCCCATGCCACCACTCGTCCACCCAGCAGGGCAGCGAAAGCCCCATTGTGCGCCGCAGCAATCTGCTGAACGTTTTGGAGTTCCTCCTGCAGGTGGTGGCAGTCACCACCGAAACCTCTGTCGCCCCAGGTCACGACACGTCCATTGGCCAACGTGGCAGCGAAAGCCGCATTGGTGGCTTGGATGTCGATGACATCTCCTCATCTTTTGGTCCAAGGGCAAGAGTCGGATGAACAAGGACGGGAGCATGATCTTGGAACAAAACACATGAATCAGGGTGTAAGAACAACCTATATAATAAGCCAGTGTCACGAACTCAAGAACGCATCTGGAGATTGCCTCAAACACCCCGGAGTGGTCTACCGCATCCAAGCTTCTGAGGTCTCTCTGAACCGCCTCGCTGTCACCGCCGTGAAGTGCATCGCCCCACGTCACGACTTGGCCACCACGGCACCACAGCGCGAAGGCCCACGGAGTCCGTGCCACGTGGGCGATGGATGCGATAGCACTCACGTCATCCTGGCTGGGGGCTTCACAATGTATGAATCTTGTGGGGCAAGAAGTAAGGACAGGGGGGGCAGGGTGGAATTCAAGGTTTATATTTGTTTTCACGGTTTTTCGTGTGAACCAGGGGAAGCAAGACTACTCCTGTTTCCGGCGAAGGCAGGCGTCCCCGGTGTTCGGCCCTGAAGAGTTGCGAATGTGAAGAATTCGGAGGATCGGTGCTCTCTGGAGCTATGCCTTGGCTTTTTGACTGTGAGATTGATCGGTCCCATCACATGCATCCTCAAGAAACTCACTGACGCGTGAGGAGGTTGATTGGTTCTGGGGGTGAGTGACCTAATCAATTCCTTGAGTTTTGAGCTAATTGAATGAGCTCTCTGCATGGTTGGCTAACACCCCAAACACATGAAGATGTTGGGAAATCCAAACATGTGTAACTTGTTCTGGGTGGTGACAAGGTTGACTCAAGATAATCCTTCAAGATGGCCCCAAGATCCAGGCTATAGACACTGTAGATGCGAAAAATGCCTCTTGGTCTTGCCTTTTTGCCGATGACTGCTGCTTAAAACAGTTGGGCTTGGCATGCATCAAATCACTACCTGCAAACTATACGTGAAATGCTCTTGTAGTATTTTGGCCTAGCTTCTATCCACTCGGGCGTATCACCGACTTGGAGCTGTCGGGGCTATAGAAAATGGTACGTAGAACATTACAGCTTTCCTGCAACTGCTAGTGCCTTGCCGCCTTTTTCATTCTGGACGATTTGTAAGTTCACCTTCTCACTGTGTAGAGCTTCTCTTCACTGTCTTCAGCCCTCGAGTCTCGAGACCCTGCGGAAGAAGTCAGTGTTGCTTGGTTATATAACCCGCTGAAAACGATCCCATGGACCCTGAAAACCGCTGGTTTGTCAAGGAAAACCGTCTTTCAGGGTGCCATTCGACCCGGGTCCATGTGAGTTTGCGGGAGTGTAGAGGTTCCTTATTCTGTTTGCCAGGTCTTGTTGAACCTGGCCAGGTTTCAATGATCCTGGATCCCATCCCAGACCGGACTGACGGTAGGAAAGCACACACCCCTCTCAACTGTGCGTGCATATTAAGCGTCTCCATCTTGCAGTCCAGCACTTTCCAAGGACTCGGTGAGGTCCAGAAAGTGGCCATCGCGCGAGAGCAACCGCAAAAAGCCTTGTTGAAGTGCCTTCTGCGCCGCCAGCTTTAGCTCCAAGAGCCTAAAACATCACTTGCTTCCCATGTCTGGCAGGGTTCAAATTGCAGCAACCAGCAAGCAGCAAGGGGGTTTGGTACATCCATAGAAGGTTTTCCTGTCTCCAGGGGCGTGTGACCGAACTGGCAGGTCCATGACCTTTGAGACCGGGACTCATGGAAAGCCAGTGAATTGGTCTACCTTCCAATGAATTTCCAGAGTTCACCCACCAGGGTCCTTGCATCTCGTGCTACTCTTGGTACGTTGGACAGTGTCCAATCATATCTTTGGCCAGAAAGTGAAATCTGAGGGACGGTTGAAGGGCCTTTGGTGGGTAGCTGCAATTGGTGGCGACCAGTTCCTCGAAAAAGGGAACACCATACGCACCATGGGAAGGGATGACTCCAGTTTCCATGATGCCAGCTCCACTGATGAGTGAGGGAGTCTTGCCATCAGATTGTATGCTCAACTCCGGAGACCCCGGTCTATGACGATGAATGCCATGTAGAAGACTGAAGGCCAAGTCGTACATCTGCATATTCTCATGACAATCCCCCATCTCATCTGCATATTCCAATCACAGATCTTCTGCATATTCCATCATATTCCCATGACAATCCCCCCATCTCATCTGTTGACAAGACACTTCGATGTCGATGGCAAGGTGACGGTTTCCGAGCGCCCGCTGGGCAGCAGCACGTTGATGCTCACGCGACTCGGCGACTCAGCCTCGGCCTTGGCCTCGACGGTGTCCATGGCGAGGCCAAGACGCAGGTCTGAGACAGTGAAACGGGATCTCTGTCTCTCCAAAAGGCAAACTGAGGCTAAACAGCTCCCCTGTGGTGCTCCAAAGTGGCAGAGACCAACATAGATGAAAACATTCATACTATCATACAACCAGGTGGGCTGAGTAGATGTATCAAGACCCAGTTGGACCCTTTATTTCTTTGGTACGCATTGAACTGTTCACTCTCACCAGCTCCAAGGAATTGTTCAACCTGCTGACGAACTTCAGAGACACCAAGCCAATTGAACATCAGGATTGAAGGGAACACGCCCACAGTCCAAAAATGTCAATCAACTCTTTTGCCACTAACAAGTGGACATTTGTTTGCGAGAAACACTATGATTTGGGAATGCACCTACCTATAATGAACAGTTCGGCTAGCCCACCCCCAAGCCTGACATGCTCTGCATTGCTTTTCAGTCTTTGAACATCCAAGCAGCGCAGAAACTGGCCAAGAAACATCACCAGATTCAAGTCCCATGGTAGGAGCACCACAGATCGGAATTCCGCCATGGAAGCAAAGGGCATCCCATCTTCTTGATCCACGAAGCCTCGAGCATTTGCAACAAAAGAATGGTGCGTCGCAGTCGGGCGGATCTCCTTGCAGTGGCTCCAAACATGAACACCCCTGGATGGCTCGAAAGACCGGGAAATATAGTCGAGACGTCGAGACATAGTCAAAACCCAAGGCTCCGTGAAGACCTATTCGCCATGCGTTGCAGCTGTATCTTGGGGAGCTGCCCAAACCGAACTCTTGCTATCAAAACTCTTCGACACTTGGCAGCAGTCTGTCGACACTTCGGACACAAGCAACAAGTTTTCACCAGCACGGTGCGGGTCTCATGGTAGAGCAGCTCTCCGGGTACCCTGAAGGGCTCGATCTCACACGCCCGATTTGACCAGCAACACCTCCTCCCCTGGCATTGATAAAAAAAGCTCCGCCCAGCGATTCAGTCATCCTTCCCTCCCTCAAAGGCGCTGTATGGGTAGAACGCATGCTTCATGGCATTCAGTGCCTTGGCTTCCGTTCCTGCAGAATCGGGCGGGGATCTGTTCGCTTTTCAGAGGGTTCTACAACCCTTGCGACCGGTCGTCCGAGACCTCCAAGACCCTAGTAAGTGAAGGTTCACCCTACAGTACCAGGGGAGTTCAGGGGAGGTCAATACTTATATTGAGCATGACGCAGCAGCAGTGGGTGCTCTCAAAGTCAACAATCTTCTCCTGGCTTGTTCCAAGATATCCCAAGCCTTCCATGCAACTGCGGAATGATTGTCCACAATCCCTTTCACAGCGATGGAACGCCTGGGTTTCCAGGTGCCCTTGGATGACTCTGAAAGGATCCCCAAAAATACTGGAGGTACTCCAAGTGGTCCTTAGTATTAAAATAGGGACCAAACCAAAACACTTACCAAAAAACCTGCCCCAGCCGGCTGCTCCGTCAGAATCTGTGAGCCCCGGTCAAGGGGCCGTCGGAGGTCAGGCGGCCACGGTGGATGATGAGAACCTCCTGCTTGGCATTCTCGGGGTCATGGAGGCACCGCACCTCAGGCGTCGTGTGTTTCCATGAAAATAGAAGTCTTAAGTGAATAAAATCACTTGGGCTCTGAGAAGGGTGGCATATCTATCTATATACTGTGTAGATATATTATAATATATATATATCTAGTCATGTTGGATCATTTTGGCCAGACTCCAAAGCCAACAGAAGTCTCAAATCAAGCCTTCCGAGACGGAAGTACTGACTCAAATTCAATGGGCGACTGTGCGCCAAAGAAAAGAACCACCGATAAAGATTCCATCCTGCGGTCCACCGGAAAAAGAAACACAGCCCAGCCAAGGAACGTAGAGGGACAATGGCCGAACCTGGGCGTATGTGACATGAGGCGCATAGAAGGCCGCACCTTTGTGTCTTGAGAGATCTTTTCCCTTTGTGTGTGGGTTGCTGGGCAAGGAGCTAGGGCGGAATCGAGAAGGACAGTGTCAGTAAGTTGAACATCTTACAAGGAACAACGATGACATCATTGACAGCAACTCTTGACAGGACTGGTGTAGTCTGTCAGTGGTACTTCAAACAGCTTCAGCTTCTGTCCTTTTTGCTGCACTCTCCTTGGCTTTAAAAGACGTCTGGCCTCAAATGTCCCGGCACCATCAAACAACAATCTAAAAGCAAGGCAATTGCCTTGGACTCCAACATCTCAAGATCCCATCGCCGAAATCTGCACCAACCCCCTTCAGTTGATCACCCACTACGCCGCACGCTGGAGATTTGGAGCGCAGCAACGACACAAATGTAACCCAATAGTCCCAACCAAAAAAGACACCGCCTTTTGCGTCGATGAATTCACAACCAAACCCAACCAAGCAAAACCACACACAGTCCACGGCCTCAACCCCCGCCTGTTTGTGGATTGAACATGGGTATCTCAAGTTCCACTTGCATCTTGTGTCGGTCAGAGGGTCATGTTCATGTTCCATCATTTTCCTTCATCTGGCAGGAGACCACTGGCTTTCGCTGCCCGGTCTGCCAGTAGGCGACCTCTGCCAAGGGCCGCTCCTCAAAGAGCACCAAGCACGGCGGGCCCACCACTGGGGTGCCGTCCTTCGCGGCCAGTACGTCACAGGCGAAGAGGTCGGAAAGGCGTTGCCAAAAGTGGAACAACGCTTCGGACCAAGCGTGACCTGGTCAAGGCCGGCCGGGACCCCTGAAGGTCCGGCTCCATGTAACGGTGACTTCCGTTTGTTGGGGGAGGTAGAATGTGACCGGGCTAGCAGGGTTCAGACAGGAGAGACCAAATATCATACCAACATGCAAATTGAACAGCTTCTATAGTACATAGAGATGTAGATAGAGTGACCCTGCCTGGATGAAATGACTGATCATTCAGCAGCAAGAAGCCGCTGTAGAAAATCACTGGCTTGGAATAGTGAGCTCGAAGTCGTGAACATTCCTGGGACGAGATGAACACAGACAATCCAGGTAATCCCAGGTAATCCCAATGCCTTATCCATCCGGATTCCACACACCATCCCAAGTACAATTCTGTATTCAACTTCAAAGGATCTTCTTCAGCCAAAACTGAAACATCCATGCAAATGGCCTGCTCTTTCCTTCAGACAAAACAGCAGCTGCAGCTTTTCTCCCCCAAACCCTAGATTTCTGGCCACGCTTCTTCTAAATGCCATCATGTGCGAAAGCCCTCGAAGATCCTGGAAGCCAGTCCTAATCACGAGATGTCCCCATCCCATGCAAAAACCAAAGAGTAAACACATGTAACAACTTTGACTCCCAGCTCCCCAACATCTGGAGAACTTGGATGTCCCAGCGGCCGAGACCCACATGCAAACCAGAAGATCAGAGGAGCGCAACATTTGGTCGACAGATCCTCGGGAGCCTTGCTCTTCGTCACCCAGGACAGGCGCATGTGGGAGGACGTCGCGCAAGCCGAAGCGCTCGAGGCAACCTGGGCGGAGCTTGCCGGTGGTGTGGTCGGCGGCAGCTGCGGCGGTGGTGGTGGTGTCATAAGTGAGGGGTTCTTGGGTGCAGGTTGGAGCCTGCTAGAGGGGTCTGGCGGTTGCTTGCCCTTGTGCTGGTTCAAACAATTGCTGGTAGATAGATACCCAAGAATAGGGACAAATCATGACATATCCCAAGAATGGCCCTTGGGTATGTAGATCAAATCTCCCGAAGCAACGCAAACTATAGGATGAAGATGTTCACCTCCGGTAGCTAGTAAAAGAACTAGCATGAGGTCCCCCCGGCATGTCTTGATATTCCTTTGGGCACTTGGGAATCACCAAAGGGTCCAAAACACTTCGCTACTTGGAGCACGTCGACACCATTTCAGCAGAATCATAGGACACCAAACAGCATACTGTTGATTCGCTTGGAGAAGAATTACCACAGTATGCTGTTGGCTTACCTTGGCTCCACGTCGTGAGCCGGCTCCACACCCCACCCGAAGCTCCTGAGGGTCCGGAATTTCCTTCAAGCGGCCATCCTCGTGGTTGTAGGTGACCAGGAACGGATCGATCAAGTCTGCGAAGAGGCTCCAAAGGGTGTACCTCAGTTCCACTGATCTTAATGCTATGAGAGTGTCTAGCGAGTTCTTCCTCATGCGTGGATTTTAGTGACACTGCAGTGATGTCTTGCGGGGGTTTGGGACTGGGATTCTAGGGTTAGAGGATACCACGGGTTCAGCCATGAAGGTCCAGTGAACGAACTCCTGTGTGATGTTAAATCAAAAACATGAAAAGTGGATACCTTAGGTAAACCTCCAAAGAAAATGGCACAAACCCTACTTGTACAGTGCCCTTGTTTAGTATACAGGGATTCTTTAACATTTGCTCTTTCGCTTCTTTGCCAAGATTTGAAAAAGGAGCCTCTGCGGTTCTCTGTTTTAATTCTTCGGAGCTGCAATGTCTCCAGCCACAAAGAGCAATGACCACCTTGGACTTGCAATGGGCTCATTGGGATGCTCCTCCCGAAAATTAACTTTATTGAGTGCAATGATTTATTAACCTCTTGGATTTTGCTAGAAAGGGAAGTACTAGAACGACAATCTTTTCAAAGCGACCCTATAGGTTGCTCTGTTGAGAACTGGACTCCATCTCAGGTGGCTTGCTGATACATGAAACCTATCCATCCTATCCATCATGTGGCACCGGAACTGGGGGGGTTCGGCCTAACATCGTTTGCCAAAACCAAACCGGACAATGTTTGTCTGGGGCGAGTCATGCAAGTCGCGCTAGGCGGTGGGTTTTCCAGGATGAACCCTGTCTATACCTTCTTGTATAGACTCTTAAATGAATTTAAAAAACCACCTGACCCCTTTAAAACACCACCATAATATGAAGAAGTTCTCCTTTAAATCCAAGGGGAAGGGGAGAGGGATGGGAGAGGCATTTACGAATCAAAAGAGTCGGACCTGACGGGTTTGGACCCCGTGTAGCCCGTGCACGCCGCCACGACATCCCAGGCGCCGAAGACGGAGGTCACCCGCAGCGTCGGGGACCACGGAGCGAGGCCTCCAGCGGCGTCCAGCGAGGGATTTGGCTCAACACACAACAACAACACGGCAAATATATGCAAATGTGTTGGGAACATGTCTGAAAGAGTTATTCACTGCTAAAATATATACATGTCGCTTTAAGATTTAATATAGCTTAATGTGTTCCCATATACTGGGATCAAGCACTCAGAGCAGCTCGGCAAGGAATCATACCACTTGGTTTGAGAGTCTTCGTGTTCGCTTAAGGTTTCAACCACCACATGAGAACCCCATCACACTCTGCGGCAGCATATTGTGACTTGGACTGACTTATATAAGTGCGTCCCTTTGGCCTGTCAGCCTGAGATTCACATATATATATATATAGAGAGATTCACCATATAGATTCAACATGATTCAACCATATTCAACCCATCTTCCCCGGTCTTCCCCCACCCTAAAAGTAAACAACACCATACAACAACTACTGCACCCGGGAAGATTAACATGGAACCTGAACATGGACCTTTGGAAGACTACTGTATGTTCCTCTACAACTCTGTTGTTTTCAGGTTCCATGTGGGTCTCTTCCAGGGTGTCATTATGCTTAATTACTGCCTTTGATCCTCACATCGTCTCACATCCTATCCACCCCTCCAGCTCTGTCATGTGCCTCCATCTCCGGAGCTCGGTGTGAACCTCCGCGGAGCACTGGACTCCACGGCTGGGCGACGAAGGAGCTGGCGGAAGTGCTCAAAGGTTTGGATCTCAACCGGCAGCGTCCTGAATTGGGGTGCGAGTTCATCATTCGCACGGAGATGAACTCACCGATTTACTGACCCACCACCAGTATGATGAGATGTCTCCTTCTTCAGAGTGCGAAACTGCTCGTACAGGTGCTGTTTTGAATCCTTCTTCAGCCAAGGCGATTCTGAGCGTTGACAACAATCAAATGATGGGGTATGGGGTGTCGTCAAATCTTTTGTCTGGGTTCCAAAATATAGCTGCAGGTACCACAACAAAGGTGTAAAAATACCCCTTCGCCCATCTCAGGCTGTTGCAATCGCATAGAAAAACAAGAAAACACACAGACAAGTCACAAGTGTTTCCTCTTACAACACATGGGGTCACATGGTCCTGTGTCCCATGGATGCCATGATGCATCCACTCCCTTCGCCAACCTTTCACCCCCCGTCCCGTCTCCGCGGTCCGCATCCGTCGCATGCCAAACGCGGCATCAGGGCCTCGGAACGGTGCGGCGCTGGGCACGAAGAACCGCGGACTCGGAGGCGGACCCGGTGGAAGAATTGCCCTGCAGGTTGTAAAGGAAGGATCTGTCCATGTCCAAAACGATCTGTCAGATTGAAGTGGGAGATTCTTAGGGCCCGAAGTGCCCCCAGACACGGAAGAGGAGTGTGGATCTACCAAATTTGGCGGGCTGTAAGCGATGTGAAAAAGCTAGGTTGGGATGGGTTGGGATTGTTTAGGAGCTTGCTTGACAGACCTTCACAAATTTTGGATACACGCAGATCTACAGGAAAACATTGGAGTTGTTATACTTCCGGGTTCAAGGCATGTCAAGGCTACTCTGTGTTTGTGTATGCCATCAAGTACCGACATACCGACACAGCCTGCGAACCTGCGAGCCGGTCACCCGCGCCGATCATAAGACCAGCCAAGGCACAGCTTCGCATGAAGAGCTCCAAATCCAACAGCCTCACGGGCCAACTCGTCGAGCTCAAGTACTCCAGCGAGGCCTCGACTGCGCGGACCATCGAGGGAGCTTGTGACGGCCGGAGGGTCAAGCGCTCGGTCCATGGGCGGAGAGAATTGGCTGGCCTCTATAGTTGTGAGATTTTGAGCTATATATTTAGTATGACCACGCTTGGATTTTGGTGCATATAGTTCTGCCGAGTCGGAAGTTAAACGAACAGTCCTATGGCCAAAGGCTCCGCTTTAGAGAACGTAAGCGACAGAAGTAGCCTCAATGGACATAGTGGAACATTCAACGACAACCCGCCACCACACGAGCATGTCCGCGCCTCCTTTCCAAAGATGCTGGAGCAGTGTTGCCTTATAGGGTGTAGCGTGTGGAGCTCTCCGAAGAAGGTTTTCAATCCGCAACAAGGACTTGGCAGGGAATGAATGAAGGAATGACCTCCAAAAAGGGAAACATCCTCAAGGCATTCTTGAAATGAACCCAAACTCATCCAAATTCAATTTGCGCTCTTCCTTCACAAATAGTAATAGTCCTTCCTTCATTCCTTACCTCCAAGCAAACGGTCACATGCGTCTTCCAATGCCCCATTTGTTGACTCCCGCAAGTGGGCTCTTTTTCCGTCGAGGTGGGCTCAGTTAGCTCGGTCAGCTCGATGGATTCGGTCCACCCCCTTCGGCCAAGTCGGTTTCAGAAGCGGCCAAGTGAGCGTGTATTTAAAAGAGGGAGACCCCCCGGCAACAACCCCCTGGAAGAAGGAACGTACCAGCGGATAGGAACAAGCACCCTTTGGTTCGAGACCTTTCAATTCAAATGCACACTCAGAAGTGGCCACTTCCAATTCCAGCCAGCAGTTGCAACGAGTGAACAACAGGTCTTGACCACACCAAACACAAAGAAACACCTACAGTGTAGGCTACGAAGCACCACTGATTCAGCAATCCGCTTTCTTCTCCATCCACTTCTCGGATGTGCTTCATTGAGTGCTAGAGATTCTGCACGTATTCACTTCCCACAAATAATACCATCAAAACACATTCCCCATATGTTTGCCACGCATTGGACACCAAAGCAAACACAAGATAAGTACTACATGATATATATATATATATAAATATCAATCTCAACCCATCGCTGTTTCTTCTCAAGCCACGCATTGGTCTCTATCATGATCTCCAGCTCCTGCGCATCCTCCCGCGCGCCCTGCGCCAGCGTGGTGTGGAGACCAAGGATGCGAACCCAGCAGGCGGCTTGGTAACCTGCGCGACGCTGAGAGGACTTGGGCTTTTAAAAGCGAGGCCTGTCTATAGGTCTAGGCACACTTGCATACCACTAGTGGTGAGGCTGGCACTGTCAGCTCACCTCGCTCAGAACCAAAAATGCTGGAAGATCTGGAAGCTGTCATTTCACCTTGAAAACTTCATCAAGCGTCCAATTCACACGTAAATGTGCTTCCACCCTTTTCACATCACATGTATTTTGGTGACCACTCTTGCAACTACTGTTGATTGACGTTCCTTCTCGAAAAGGCATCAGAACTCCTATTCATTCTGTTGAAGGAGAGAAACAATTGATCGCACAGAGTGCATCTTCGTTCTCTTCGATCTGATTACGAGTCTCAACCCAGCCCCGGCAAAATCACCGTGCAGGTTTCCGTCTCAAGCTGCCCAAAAAAAGCGGGTCACTGTTCAAAATCCTAAGGGGTAAGCTACTTGAAGAAGCCAAGCCCTTCTTGAACTTTTCCTTCCAGGCCTGGAAAGCACAGGCCCATTCTGCTCGTCGTTCGTGGTGCGGACGGGGCAGTCGCAGCCAGCAGCCGAGCGCGGAAGGCTTCGGTGGCGGCTTGGAAGACGTCTCGTTCGGCGGCGCAGGGTGAAGGATTGCACATTTGATCTATGGTATTTCTGCTGCTAGTTTACAGGAAAACATCTGTAAGTCGTGTAAGTGAAGCGCCAAACATGGATTAAAATGAAGGATATCTCCCTATGAATCCGGGGTCTTGTTTATGCCAGCTGGCGGACGCAGGATTTCCTTCATCAAGATATACTGGACTCCTCTGGTATGGGCACACCCTTTCATGACCCAACAAATCCGCGATGTGAGCAAACTCTTAAAAGCAACCTCCCCAAAACATATATTGTTAAGAGAAACAACATCTCTGCCTTGAAAGATCCGTCTCTCTCTCTCTCTCTCGTTCAACCAACGGAATTGCTCCTCACGAGCTCGTTCGCATCGCTGGTCGTTACTCGCTCGGGCCACCTCTGGGCTTCTCGTCCCAAGGGGTCAAGAGCTCTTCAGCAGTTGCTTGCAAGGCCCTTGGGAGTGATCCAAACCCAAAGCGAGGGACCAGGACCAGGACTGCTTGGTGGAGCTAACCGCAACCGTGCCCATGGGTCTGAACTCTGAACCCTGCAGTAAATGGCTTTTAGATGCTTTTAGGGAAACTGGAGAAGAGAACAAAGGAATCTGCAGAATCACACTCTCTTTGAATGTGTATGGAATGTTGTGAAGCGACGTATTTGACTTCACACCTCCCGAGTGTAGACACCTGAAGTAATTTCTTCATGTTGTGGATCTTCATCCATCCAGAACTGGCCAGCCTGTTTGTGTATTTTGCCGTGGCATCTATCTGGCCAGGAGCTTGTATACGACAAGTGTACCTCGCGATCTTAAATTGTGAGACCAAGGGAGACCTGTTGGAAGGTGCAAGTGTCTATAGACCATCAATGATCAAAACCCAACATGGCATTTGAATGATCATTGACTTGATCTCGTTCCCAATCTCTGGCATTGCTGAAAGAACAATCAAATGATGTGGGCGTACGTCAGAATGACAGGGCACCCGACGACATTTACCCCTGAGTTTTGGCTTGAACATTTGGATGATGTGTTTCCCTTGTTTTATTCTTAGCATCTCCGAGCATATCCCACACGACTGCCACATCACCACCATGTCCCAAACACTCCATGTCTGGAATATACAGTATATATTCCTACATGAAACCACCTTATAGAGCGTCTGGGTGTTGCTACGGCCGAGCAGCACATCCTCACCGACCAAGCGTCCTTCGAACGCACGAAAATGGCGGGCGCAGTTGACAATGGCCACCCTGACCGAAACTCCTTTTGGAAGCACATTCTGGGCACATGGATTGGACTCAAACAAAGAACAACCAATACAAAAGAACATGAAAGATATGAAAGGAAGGCTTTCCATTGTTGGAAGTGGATTTGCCTTTCTTTTGTATTCTGCAGTCAATTTACCGCCTCACAAGTCCTTGAATCTGTACCAATGAAATCTGTACCAATGTCGCTGTTGGTCCATAGCAAGTGGCTACGGATTCATGCGATGCTGATCTATCATGGCACAAACTCGGTGAAACCGTTCAGATTCCCCAGAGCAGCAAGCGACTGGATCTAGCACTTTGGGTTTTCTGGTTCTGGCATGATTTCCCTATAATCCTATAATATATATATATTTATATACCATTTCTCCGCCCTTGCAGCGGATGCGTCCACCGCCACTTGCATCCAAAGATCCCTTCGCCAGGAGCGTCTCCAACTGACGACGGAAGGATGACCAACCTTGCGCAAGCAGGTTGCGCGGAGACGCAGCTCTTTGGCCGGGATATTTCTGGAAAAAATGACAGCAATGTGCGAAACAGTATCACTATTTTTGCATTTGTTGCTGCATGGAAAGGCCCGGAACTCATGTTCACACGAATGGCTGCATGTGTGAAGCTTTCGAAGCACTTGTTCCGAAGATCTTCTTCCAAACTTGCAGGACTTCTCCCATAGATGGACTGATTACATCCCCTGTGAACCACAATCTTCCATAATCTTCCTGTTGAATGAAACCATACATGATTGGTGGCGGGTTAATGGTGATCATGCTAAGCTTGGTCAAAATTTGTTGATCAAGGCTGCTTTTGTTTCCTCTGCCTCCGGTGGGTCAAACACTGGAGGTTTATAAGGGAACCTTTCCCAAAATCAAAAGGCAGGCCGAATCCACCCACATCCAGCTCCGTTCGAATCCGAAGACTCCTTTCACATCTTGTGTCGAAGATTATGCTATATTGATCCCCAAATAGATAGAAACGGTATTCAAGACATCATCATGTTTAGTGGGGATCTACTTTTCTAATTTGGGAGTGTATCTATATATACAAATCCCTTCCAGATCACCCCAGCTTTCCTTCAGGTCGGCTCCCCCGGCCGCAGCTTTCCGCCATCGTCGCCCCCGCCACGCCCACAATATATCCACCGACGAGGAGCGCCGATCATCCTCGCAGTCGAGCCTCCCAAGGGTTCATTTGGGACCCTAGGGATCCACATACCTTCTCAGAAGGTATGTGGATCCATAGGGGGAAGAAGCCTCTTAGCTCTTTGAGGGTGTCAGGTGGGACCCTGGAGCGTCAGGTTGGACTCACACCACCAATGGGCTTGGAGCCGAATTCCATGTTCTAGGGTTCTCTATAGAGAGTCCGGGGCGAAATTGGAATGACCTGGGATCATGTTGATTGATACTTGATTGATACTTGATTGATACTTGAATCCATCCTCCCTCCAATGGGTTCGGGTGCTGCCCAAAATCGATAGAAGAGTCATGCCATGTCATGCCACAAGATGGAATAAAACACCTAAGACTCTTTCACCTCTTGGGCCAGTTGTTGATTCCTGTGGATTATTGGGGAGTATTGGACACATCTTGAATCTTGAAGCCATCCGTGAGTATCAGGCTCCGGCCAACCTCTCAAACCGTTGGAAGAAAAGAACCAAACATGCCAAACCCAACCGACCCGCCGTTGCCTCCGGAAGTAGCTCCCGTTGAACAGGCTCGTCCACTGGTCGGAAGCATTCAGCGCCAGCCAGGCCAGTCGGCCGGGCCACATGCATCGGCCCAGGTCGTCCGGCGCGCTTTGGATTTGGATTCGTTTTCAGGGAGAGAAAGCCCCTTGATTGGAGAGGAAATGCTTGCATCAGGTCGCTGGCAGTGACTGTTTGAACTCCATGTAAGCCTGTAAGCCCACTGATTGGAGAGAAATCAAGTATGTTAGACGCCTTTTCGTTGCGTAAGCGAAAACTTCTGCACTTCGTTGCCAGCCCATGTGCTCAATCTTCTTCGAGATTGCAGAAGCGCTGTGCATTTGTGCATCTAGAATTTCCACTTCCAGCCTCCCTCCTCCAACGCACCAGCAAAGACACCGTCATTGCGAAAACAACACTCGCGGCCTATCATTGGGGGTGGATCCTCTGGTACGATCCTCTTTCTCTGTAGACAGAGATACAGCACCGCACGCCGAAAAAAACCCGCCCCATGCTCTATCTGCCGATCAAACCTCCATCTTGCATTGGAGTACTACGTCGATACACGCTCATCTGTACATGATGCTCCTAGAACAGCCCAGCCCCCACATGTCACATGACTGTGAGACTTGCCGATTGGAGCCTCTGCGTTGTAGTGGTCGAATGGCAAGGTGAGCTGCAACTGAGGCAGCACATGCCTAAGTCGGTCTGGTCTGATTGGCAGTGTTGCTGTTTTGCTCTAAATGAACCAATGACGGGAAAGGAAGGGGATTGCACAAGGAGTCTCACTCATGACATAGAGTATCATAGAGTTGAAACACATCGAAGCACTCAACAAATGAAACACGGTTTCCTATAAATTTGGCACGAGCTCTGTCTGTCTGTCTGTCTCTCTCTCTCTCTCTGTGTCAACATGTTGTATGATGTTGTATGTTACACTATCAATGGCGACAAACACCGGTCGACATCAGCACTCGTGGCTGGCCGCCTTGCCCTTTGCATCGCTTTGTTGAGAAGTTGCCTTTCGCTATCAGCCAGTTCACCATCCTCAGCTGGAACTGTTGTGGCGTCAAAGTCAGGCTTAGATTTGCCAGCTCAGCAGGCGTCCGGGCCAAAAGCGCCTTGAACACAAATCTGGCCTTGGCTGGTTGGAAAAGGTTTGAAGTTCCTTTCTTCCTTCACTTTGCCGGCCTTCTTCGTCGAACTGTTTTCTCTGCTTTAAAGGAGAGCTCCCAGCGAAGGAAGCTTTGCGTTGATGCCTCGAATTGGACACAAGGCTTGTACACGGCCCTTGGTCTTCACCTGCTCTGGACTTTGTGGCTCCATTCGCCTCATGCTCACGCTCATTGGTGCGTCTGGGCGGCGCAGCTCCGCAAGGGATCTCTGAGTTTGAGCCCTTTGCCCTGCCTGAACGGTTTCATTCCGGTTCTGCTCGGGGTGGCTACAGTTCCAAGTTCAAACAGTTCGGCCATATATTTTTGATCTAATTTGCAATGCTTTCCAATTCAATAGACCCCTTATATATCCCTTAGCTGTTTACATGTACAGGGTTCTGATCTATGGACTGCCCCCGCCGCCCATTACTCATCGAAATCTCCCTCCGTCACACCCAAGGCGGGTAGGCATCCGGGCAGGAAAAAGTATAAGGACCAGCTGCCCGACACCAGCGTCAACAGAAACCTCAAATGAGCTGTGCTGGAAAGCTTGAGGGTGATTCCTATGTCGTAAGAGGGTGCTTACGCAACACGCAGGCTTTTCTTACGCACTTCACTGGTTTATGGCATGGCTCAGATGCACTTCGATTCAGGTTCCTCTCTGGCAAGGCCGCCCAAAAGTCCCAGCCAACCGCAAACAGAAACACGATGTAAGAAAAGATGTCAAAAAATGTCAAACCCATGGCCATTGGTGTTCTTCTTTTCTGGGTGTTCAACGGAACCCAACCCAAAATGATACACAACCCTGCGGAAATTGTGGGACTAAAGCAGCCTCAGTTCAACATACTGAGCTTCCTTGTTCGCTCTTGGATCCACGCTCTGAGACTCTGGGTGCCAATTGCTCTCATCATCTACAGTATAAGTTTCCTAAACCGGGACAGGGTAGATCATGATAGATCTGAACAGAAATGCTTGGCAAATCATGCAAATCAGCCTTTTCTGCTCGGAAGTGTACTGCTAGGCACCAAGGGGTATCTCTCTCTCTCTCTCTCTCCCTCACTCCCTCCCTCCCTCCCTCCCTCCCTCCAGCTGCCCTTACCCGTGGCCGGTCCCCTCAGTTTTGACCAAAGCCCTCCTTCCACGTATCATGTGCGGGGGCAAAAAAACACATCCCAAAGTTACCACGGACTGTTTAACTTTTTGCACGCTAAGAAAGGGAAAAATGCATGAATTGCCTGGACGCCCAGCTGGTTTCACCGATGGTTCCCAAAATCACACCAACCCAACAATTGGGGCCACATCAGTCTCCTACAGTTGTACCTAATCATTCGGAAGGGTCCTCACCGGATCCCAAAACGAAACAACAAATCCTCCACGGTCCGTCCTCAAAGGGCTTCTGGAGCGGAAAACAGACGCATGTTCCTGACCCCACCTCCGACCTCCGACCCTCCCACCCTCCCCCACCCTCTGAGAAATCTCTCCCACCTCCGACCCTTTGAAGACCAGAAACGCTGGTGGAAGCAGGTTGGCTACCGTGAGCTCCTGAGCCGTTCGAGGCCGTCGCAAAGCCTCCACATGAAGGGAAAGGACATCGGCCGATGATCATTCAGCTTAGTATCTGGCCATATCTTGCCCTTTCCCCGGTAATTGTGCTGGAGCCACCTTTTAGAACCACAGTATTTTGACACTTTGCATTCATAGCAGGGATCAAAGACTGCGACAAAAAACATCAGGTTTCAATATATGTTGGGTATTGCGAATTTAACCCTCTCCCTTCTAACACCTGTCCGTTCCGTGTCTGCAAGATTCTGCAAGCATCAGCTTGGCCATTGTCTGCGGGTCGGCGCGAGCGTGAAAACACTCCTGTGGCACTCTGAACGCCCTCAAAACCTGACAGCCTAAGACAAGCAGCTCCAACAAGCTAATGACAAGCTTCCCCCGAAATAATAAGTTCTTCCTTACAACTTACAACTGGCTGGACTTCATCTTCAATCTCTTTATATATATATTACCATCATACGGTCCATCTCTTGCGACCTGAAACCATGACCAAACCTCTCCTTCATCCAACCGCCCATGTCCATCTTCTCCCAAAGTCCCCCGGATAGACCCGCGGACCGCGGACCGTGCGATCCAAGTGGCGAAGGTCGGCGGCATCTCATTGGCCTCCACTCTGCGACAGCGGCTTGGGAGACGGGGGCATCGCGGAAAACACACGGCGATGTAGCAATGTAATTAATTAATGTAGTAATCTAATCTTAGATGAACAGAAGCCCCCAAACTTTGGAGTGTAGAGTAACCTCTTCATACATGGGAGGGTTTATTCATCAACAGTCGACGACATTATGCAATGATAAACAGTTGAGAGGGGTTTCAAGGTGGTCTCCAACTTCTGGATCTTTCTCAATGTTCTTTGCCCTTGAACAAACTGTCTTCCTTCGAGTACCACATGCCCGGGTGAAGCCCCGCACCACCAAGTCCCACCCCCAAGTCCGGCGCACCTTCAGCTCTGGTCCGTCGATGCGGGGTAGTTAGCAAAAAACGTGAGTCCTGACTGAAAAAAGAGCCGGATCCTTGGGAGAAGGAAACGATAAACATCGTCGTTGGAAGTGAAGAGAGATGGAGGAACAAGGATCTTGCCACGGCTGCACGGCATGATTGTTGGGGTGTAGAAGAACAACTTTGGCGCCAAAGCTGATGGCATTGAGTTTGGATAATTTGCATAGCATGGGCCAAAGCACGTAGGCAGGATGATGTCGTAAAGCTTTTGGAATGCGAACAACATGCGAGATGGTGACAAGTGTGACCAATGTTTGCTCCAACTCAAGAACTGTCACACCTGCAAGAATCTCAGACTGGCCCTTCACAGCCTGATTCCACCACGACTTGTACAGATTTACATCTCTTATCCCTTCTGTAGTGGCAGGTCAAAGATCTGGAGCCCAAGCCCGTTACTTCTCCCTCACTGGCAGGTAGCGACCCATCCACGTCCGCCCACCCTCTCCTCGTTGAGCACCACTCCGCGGTGCTTGAGCCAACAGCCGGAGCAGGTTTTCCGGGCGTTTGTTGCGCTGGACGAGAAGAGAACCCTCCTCCGTTTTGAAAATTCATTTATACATAGATTCATGCTGTGGATTTCTGTGGTAAATCTATGTAAATCATTGTAAATCCATGTAAATCCTCTTAGGTGTGACAGCGTATCATGGCACCTTGTAAATGATAGAACCATTCTGACTCCGAGCCCTCTTACCGATGGGTAGGCGTACAATTGTCTGCTATACAAGCATCCGTTGGCGATGTGAACTACCAAATCTCTTATCCAAAGAGCAACATACAGGATCCCAAAACTCCAAGAAATACAAGGTTGGCGCTTGCTTCCATTTTGAAGCGGGGAGTGTCTGCGTGCCGTTAGCACGCGCATTGTGCATGTCTAGCCCAGTTCAGTCTCTGTTGTGTTAGGTCTATAGCAGGTCCCATAAATGCCTCACCCACAGGCTGACCTGGTTGTCCCCGCTCTGTGTCTTTTGCGCGCCACGCGCGACATCTTCAGCTCGGCATCACTTTTGCCTCAGGAAACGGAGGTGTGAACAGGCTGTGGACATAAAACCCAGTGAACAAATCATCAAGCGAGAGAATACGTCGTCTAATTCTTCAAGAGGAAGGTTGTCCTTGCTCTGGTCGGAGTGGGAGGATTTTGTGTGGCAGTTGTCCTTGCTCTTCCCTGTTCCTGCTGAGGATCCAGCTGCTCTGCTTGTGGCACCGTCCAGTTTCCGCTTAAATCGATCCGGAATGGGAATAGTTTTCTGCCCACATGCATCTCATGTCTGTCTGCGACTCATCCCACGATTCTAGGAGATAGTGTTATTCATTTATTCTTTTGAATGTGTCATTAATGTCTGCATGTGCAAAAACAATAAGCATTTGATGGTGTA